AAACAGACACAATGTAATGCAATTCACTGTTCTATAATGATGTAAAAGTGTGCGGTGCTTCACTGTAGCTCTGCAATGAGACGGTGCAGTGTCCCAGAAAACATTTGACCCCCGCTGTGCTGAGGATGCACTCATGATAAGTCTGCACTGAAAATTACTCTGTGTTATTTCTTAGATTGTAACATATAACCCATGGGCATCATCTGCCTCCAAATGATCAAACTCACCTTTATATCCCCTTATGCACTCAGAGCAGGTCAAAACTAAGTTGTTGCAGCGATAAATTATACAGTGCCAATGGTACTATAGAAGCATGAAATAGATATTGATCCTTGTGAGTGCTTCTTATTTTCTTCAACATCTCTCTAGCAAGGGCTGGCGAGGTTAGGCATAAAACGCAGCCTAGGGTAATTATCCCACAAGACTCCACTTTTATTTTCTTTGATTTTATGACAAATGCAGTTTATGGTAGAAGTAAAGTAAACGTTCACATTAAATGATAAATAACGAAATTTAACATTTGCATTTAAAACTTGTCATATTATATGTTTTTTGTTCTTTAACTAATCATTTATTCCACTCGAATGTTTTAGGAGTTTGATAGCACTTTGTAAATAAGGCATGTGTCAGCAGTGCACAGTCTTCAGAAAGTGAATCTTCTTTCTGAAGCAGAAAGGTTTTTAAATGCAAATATCAAGGATTCATATTTGATAGAATTCTGAAATCCAATATTATCAGTGAGCGCACTGATAGGACTTACATCAAATAGTCAAAGTCAGACTCTAAGGCTGAGAGAAATATCAGTAATCTTTAATATTTCTAAAGTTCAATAAAACACCCTGCAGATAATTGATTAATATCATTTGAGGGTGTTTTTTAACGATACACAGTTGTACTTTTGCTGTTTTACTGTTCCTGAAAATGGAAAACAGTTGTGTACTAGTGTTAAAACTTCCACCCCTTCCAAAAACATTGTAAGAGGCAGCAACTCATTTGAAAAGTTGATATTTAAATCAGTTACCTTCCAATTTGTGCAGTGTATGCCTGCTAAAATAAGGAAATAGGCCCAAACTTTTGAGAAACTCGGTTCTACATTTTGTCCTCTTTTTCTGGGAAAGTAGAGATAGTCATTGCTGTATGCATGATAGGCCTCTTTCCATGCTCTGCCCATTGTTATCGCCATGTATTTTCTGCAGACAATAAGAACACAATGCTTCTTGACCCAGTTGGACCACATTGCAGGAATGCCGCTCCATGCTGGCAATGACATTTAAAATCACAATCCTCATTGTTGAGGGAGCTGAACCCTGACGTAGCCCCGTCAGTAAATGGTCAAAACAGACAGTTTTTCCTCTGGCATTTTCCATGACTATTTCAGGAAGAAGCAGCTATTCTGCTGCTATTGAAAAAATTCAACTCAGCCTCAATTAAATGTCAGAAGAACCTAAAATGAATGTCTGTAACACATTATAATTGCATTCATAGTGCATTATGCAGTAATAGCTTTATGTTTACTCTATTCTAATAATCAGATGTCTGTCACACTTCTAAATAAATTCTCATGCTGTTATAAAAGGCTGAACACGTTTTAAGTGTATTATCCTTACAGCATCTCACAGTCTTCATCAGTGGATGGAATCTGCCCAATTAACTAACTCCATCCACTGGCCATCAAGATTTTTTTTGTCCAACTACTGTTTCCAAGGGCAAGATTAAAATTTGATGTTCAATAGGTATAATGACCATCATGTCATATCATAACATTAGTAACATAACATGGACTCTATAATCATGCTTATTTTGAATTATTTATTTAAGGCTTCATAGAAAGTGTGAACCTTTACTCAAAATATACACATGATCTGTTTGTTTCTGGTAACACAACAATGAAATGTCTTAAATTAAAGTGACATCAAAATGTTCTTGTTTGTAAATGCAGGATATATTGCGTTTAAAGGTCCCATATTATATAAAGTGAGATGTCCATGTCTTTTTTGACTATAAAGCAGGTCTAGGTTCTTTGACCACTCAGAAAACAGTCAGCCAATCAGAAGAGAGGCTCAGAGCCTCCTCTCTCCTGATTGGCTCACCGACCTGTTGTTACTAGAGCTCGAGAGAGAAGCCTGAGAGAGGAGATGTAAAACTACACTGAGATGGTTTTTGGTGCTTAAAAACACAACTTATATGTGACCTTTAATATGAAATGGTATCTTCATGGCATCTCATGAGCTGCTTACAAACTGTTATTGACATCCTGGCAAAAGATCATAAATTATCATTTAGTTTCTCTTATAATCTGTCAATATGTTTGCATTTGCAAGGTGCATTGTACTGTGCACCAGGGATCAATCTTTGGCCCTCTTTGACTGCCACGCTCTCTCTAGATTTAGTGAGACAAAAGAGTTTCAACAATGTGAGCTATGCTCATTATTTGGTCATTTAAAACCTAAACAAAAGTATAAAGAATCACACTGGAATCCACAGCTCTATCCTTTTAACAATAACAATGTAAGGAGACAGGCAGTTGGTGCAAAGAAGGATAGAATGAGACAGTCGCCCCAAGAAGAACAACATCACCCATAATTCCAGCGAGTGCCCCAAAACAGAAAAAAGGCGGAAGAAAGGTGATGGTTGGATGGGGCAACAAACATTAGCCCTCAACACAAGAGACTGCTGTTTTTCTAATCATACTGTTCCCAAACCCTAACATGACACTGAAGATCTCCTCTCCTTAACAAAGTTTAATTCTAACCCAAGTCACAATGTTTAACTAAGTACATATCTAAACCAAAACAACCCTGATCTTTCTCTAAACCTAACCAAACAACACCTTAGTGTTGTCCATCAGTTTTGAGTGACACTAAGAAAATATGTCATCCTGCTGATAGAAGGAAATGCGTCTATGTGTCGTTCTAGACTGCCTGGATCAACAAAGTACTTCAGCGTTTATTTTGGAGGACTTTTTGGACAAAAATTAATAAATAAAAAATCAATTTTATCTATTCATGTAGGAATAAAACTAGACAAATAGGAAAGGCAAAAACTTCAGCAATAGCTTCTTTGTGTTCGAGGTTCCATTCTAACATAAGTTTTATTTTTTTTGTACTTCTGAATCATATTGAAGACAAATATTTTCTTTGTTAAATAGTAAAGATACAGCGAATACTCCTCCACGCTGCCGGTGCCTTCGGTTTTATTGTCCCTTATGACGCCACTCATCTCTGTCTCAAGGTACTACACTACTTGCTCAGGGTTTTAAAAAAACAAACATTGAATATTACACCTTTTTTTAAATATGAAGGTCTGTACGGTGGGTCCTTGTAAATCAAGTAAACAAAACGGTATACATGTTTGTCCTCAATGACTCACAACTGGTTGAAACTGAAATTTTCATACACACCCATTCATTTAGTTACTTTCCACTCTTAATATGATTAATGTTCTCATTGTTAATAGAAGTGAGAAGGAAATGGTAAGTGTTTAATAAATATTCCTACAGTGAAGCTTATGGTGGACCTGTGATGGAGTATTTAAAGGCTTTATATCAGTGTATGGATAGTCTCCATCGTCCAGAGGATAGCCGCATATCTCAGCCTTTCAAGTTTTTTATAGTCAGGGAAATTGTTATTTTTATCCTCATTAAGCAGCATCCTAATGCTCCGGTCCACTTGGGTCCTGGGTGAACTAGAATAGTGCAGTATTTAATGGGGTGCGTATACTCTTGTGCAAAGCTTGGCCTTCATAAACAATTGTCACAGAGCATAGAAGAGTTGCTTATCCTTCAGCCTAGCTGTCCATGTTTCCACTGACGCCTTATTATCTGCAGCTGCTGCGCACAAGGTGAGTACAAATGTATTGATTGTCAGTGCCCATAAATGGGAACACTCAGGGGGTGTACGCATCCAGACGCAAGAAGTGGAATGTTTTCGTATTGAATGAATGCTAAGATGTTTAAATGTTGTGTTTTTTCTGTAGAGCCCTGCGGTGACTAGCAACAACCTCCTGCTTTTCGTCACTTTCTCAACAGAATGTCTGATCAGGAAAGAAGGAACATTTCTTCTGTGCATGAGTAGACACACAAACCCAAGCACACACGCCAGCAATACATTATGGAAAGAGCATATTTCATACAGGGTTGACCTCCATCTAGTGGCTGAACTGATTCCGCTTGAAAGGCATTAAGATTAATGACTGAGTCCCTGTAACATTCAGACAATGGTGAAACTCAAACCAGACCAGAGTTGGCTATAGAGAATAAAACAGAATAGAATTCATAAAGTATTCTTTGAAAATAAAACAAAACAATTCAAAAACCTTGGTGATACTGCAGTAACATAATAGCACCACCAAACCATGACGTTATTGAGCACTCTCCATTATAAAGCTGGTAAAGAAAACTAAAACTATTAGCCTACACACAAAGAAAAGTTTCATTATAATGGAATGACATTTGTTTCTACCCCGCTGCTCTAATTTAACATTTAACTTCACATTTATTAAACTAGGTAAGTCCTGCTGAAGGTGGAAGCCTCTTTTGCAAGTGAGATCAAAACTGCTGCATAAAAAGTTGCAGACAAAATCAGGTCACGGATTAAACAATCTTCAAAACAGATAAGAGTGCTAAGATAAGGACAAAGTAAGCTAAGAAAAGATACAAGGAGTCATTTACCATGGCATTTAAAATAGTCTTGAATTCTGATATCAGATCTCTCAACTTGAATTTCTTTTGCAGTGGCTGCATAGAGCAGAAAACACGAAGTCTTTCATTCCCATTTCCATCCATATGTTAAGAACAGACAGCAGAAATTCATCTTATGATCTGAGACACTGATTGCAAAATGATATGATGAAATGATGGAGGTTTGCCCAGAATGGAGATATAAATACATTTATACAGATGACTCAGTCGACTCCATTGACGGAAAAGCAACTCAATGCAGAATAGTAAAAATAGAACAGGTTTTTGTGATTCAAACCCAACACCAAAACACTAAAACCAATGATTTTTTAATGATTTTTAAATATATAAAAAGGTATAAGTGAAAAGCCAGAACCTTTTGTCCCTGAGCGGTTGGCATTGCTTACAGAATTGCAGTTGTATGCTCTTGTTGTTAGCTCTTCAGTAGGTTAATCTCTGTGGAGAGATTAACCTACTGCACAGTAAGATAATTTTTTTTCTTAAATTTCATGTAAATTGGACATTATAGAGAGGAATACTACAGTAAAAGCTTTAAATATGCTAACCAGAGACCAGAATTACACCATGCAACTCAGTGCTAGGGGTGAACATGGAGGAATCTGAGCCTACAGGATCCCACAAACACTGAACCTTTGAAATTTAACTTTTTACAAATTGTGATTTTCTGTATCACAATTCAAAAACATGGACTTTGCACATATGAAGGTGAGATCCAGTTATGACTCGCTGTTCCCAGCTCTAGCTGGTTACACAGCTGCTGTGGTCGCCTCATTAGCCTGTTGAATTTATAATTCTAACACATCGTTTGCGGTTCAGTATGAGAACAGTCAGCACAAGCATGAAATGTAGAGCTGTTTTTTTTCTTTCTCCTTCTAATATATCCTGTTTTGATTTGCTTATTTCTGTCTTAAAAGATAATCTTATAAGATCTCATAACTATGTTCATATCATCAGCATTTGCTACCACAAATTCTCTGTCAAACAGACTGTATGCAAGCAGAAATGTTAATTAGCCATTTCATTATTGCGATAAACTCTGTAGCAACAAAAACTGAAAATGTGCCTGTGTCAGTCCCTTGGGATCTTTACCGTCTTAATATTATTAATTCACATTGGACTTATTTCTTTGGGACAGATTCTTTCCAACAAATGGCCATTTGGAGCTGGCAACAATTCCAACACCATCTTGTCTCAGTCCATCTTTTACAGAGCCCAATAAACCAGTAAGAGTCAGCGTGCATGACTACTGCAGTCATTAGACTTGAAGGTTACATTGTTTTTTGATCAGCATGATTGGTGTTAAGTGCTGATATAATTAAAACAGATTTCATTACATATCTGGACTCCTGACAGAGCGAGAATGAGACAGCATCCCAGAGAGACAAAAAAGAAAGTATTGGGAAGACCTTGAATTATATTTTCAGGATATTTAATTAAAATTGAACAATTGTTCTGAGCAAGTTCCTCTGGAAAACAATTACTTATCAAACTCTATCCTGGCCCTTTATGCTCCCCCAAGCTCTATATCAAAGTTTTCAACTAGCTAGCAAACAATCAAGCATTTAAGCTAGCTAAAGAGCTGGATATTTCCCTCAGGAGTTGGTGGAGACCAAAACACCAAAGTAGATATATTTTATATATATTATAGATATAAATATATTAATGTTGTTCCGCATCTGTTGGATGTGTGATAGGCTAACAAGTTCAACATATAAATTGAAAAGGTGATAATTATGTCATAGTTGTGTTTGCTTGTTTCTGCTGCCGACAGAAGTTTAACTTTGTTTCCTCTTTACTTAATAACACATTATTAAGTTCTTTCAATGAAATTTAATAATACTGATACTCTCATCAGGAAATTACAGACACGTAAAGTGAAGTGTTACTATTTAATTTCACCACATCATAAAACTGAAGTGGGGAAATAATTATAATCCTGTATGTTTTTATATTTTTGGACAAAAGAAATCAACTTTAAGTATCTAAAAATACTGGGATCAGATAACAATATAATGTACATGTACAGCTAAATAGGTGGAGAATGTATCAGTGTCCTTAGTGGTAGTTATGGCCCTGTTTTTGACCAAATTAAATAACGGACCACATGATTATGTGTCTTACAATAAGGAAAGCATATGGAGAATAGCAAGCAGAAAACACCATAAATGTCTTTAAATGTGGTGTCATATGCAATATACAAAAGACAGTAGAATTAGATTGAGCTAACAAAAATTACATTCAGTTACAGGGAATAACAGTGAATGCTGCACTGACTACTGAATACTGACAAATTCATTACATTTAGTATGTACGTCCTGGGAATCCCTGTTGAGGAAAACAACAGTAGCATCCGGCAGGTCACCTACATCTCCTGAATACCCCTGTGGGAGACAAAAAGAAAAATGAGTACTATAACACTTAAGCATAAGCTTGTTAATGGTGTTTTTAAAGTGTGTAATAAAATAAGGACAGATATTTAAATGGGGGCTTACACTGAGCCTTGCCTTCATCTCCTTAACTTGTCTCAGCACAGGATCCTGCTCTACAAATGCAAAGAGAGGATCTTTAAGCCACATATATATAATGCGAAGATCTTACTCAGGTATATTCAATGCATTTACAATATTTCATAGACCCACTGAGGCGGTTAGTGGCATGATTCTGCTCTGATTTAATATTAAAAAATGCAAACAAACGAGAGGGTGCCTTACTGTGTAGTTTCCACATCTTTCTTGCCAATATGGCCAGACCCACAAGGAGCATTAGAGAAGAGCACACCAGCAAAGACTCCAGGATGTGACTAAAACACAAACATGCAACGGTCTGAACAGATAGTCCAGGAAAAAGCAGCTCAGACTTATGCTGCATCTGTTCTTACACAGTCACATGACAGCCAAGATGATGACTGATAGATTTTCCTTGGCAAGAATGGTATGATCATTATCTGTGCTCGGCTGAGCTGAACTTGGGTGAACTCCATCACAACGGTATAGATAAGCATCCATAATGGGTAACAGTGTGAACAGCAACACATCAAACATCAAAGGCGTTGTAAAGGACGTAGAAATTTTATGTGGATTTTATGTGTGGAAAAAGTAAATAAATGTAATGTGGGAAAGGACAATCATAAAGAAATGCTTCACTCTTACCTGTGACTGCTCCAGGACTCCTTAGAGATGGGTTTGGGTGGAGGCAGGTGTGCAACAGACTGACTTGGGGTCAGTAGAGATGTCACAGACACTGCTGCTGAGGATAAAAATATTACACAAAGAGCTGAAAAATTATGTGTTATTATAAGAATAAGAGTGTAGCAGTATCCACAGAGTTCTATCATCAATATTCTTGATAAGTGACTTTATAATCAATACCTTGTACTGCTGGAGACCTAAGAGTGTCTGCCATATGTCACAAACACATATTGATCTGTAATGCTGCACTTGGCTATTTCTCAGTTTAGCAGCTGCAAACTGATCGGGGGGGAGGGGGACACACGCACTCAGGGAACTGTGGCTCCTTTAATATCTACAAGGCCTGGTTCAAATAGTTGTCAGTGACATTTCAGAGTTTCAAGTGGCAACTCAGATCACCATCTACTGCTCTGATTTGCCTGGTTTCCACCCACAAGGCTTAACAGATTTTCTATAGATTCTTCCCAGATTGAAATCTCACAGTGAAATCTGAGCTTGTGAGATTTGGATTGGCTCCGTGAGACTCGTAGGATTAGTTCTCTTTTTTTTTTCTTTTTTTTTTTTAAAACTATTTTTAAAGCAGCACTAATAAACATTTTTACAGTAACAAAGACTCAAATGACACGCAACGTGAAAGTGGTTGCTCACAGTGACAAACTCAGACAGAGTTATCAACCAACACTGCAGCTTCCCCCAGCTGTATTGAGCATTTTAGTGCTCAATAGAGCTCATTAAACTCATTGTTTTGGTTGTCATGCCTGCAGCATTACCACTTTGTTTCTCTCACTGGTCTCATGAACCTTGTTTTCAGCCATGGCAGTCAGATTTTTTATTTTTTTTCTAGCAAAAATGCTCTGATAAAACATACTGTAAAATATCTGCCACCACCAAACAGCAGCAGATAGACAAAGTTAGCTAACTGGTGGCACATTTAGCAGCTAATGAGTTGGATACAGTATTTTTCTCAGGGGTTGGTGGAAATAATAATAATTTAAAAAAAAGCTAAAAGTAGAGTTAATATTGGATTTGTATTCACCAGGAGGTCAGAAATGCAATTTCAGTAGAATGATAATCATGTGGCATTTCAACTTTGTAAGGTGACAGTATGCCAAGGTTGTGTTTGCTTGTTCCTCTGCTGCCACATGCTAAAAAAAATTGAATCAATACTGCTGTAGATAAAAATCTTGTCTAGTGCAGCTTCAACAAAGTAGCATACAAAAGGGGTTAGGGTTAGATTTTAATATGAAACACTTTAAATTTTTAGACCTACTAGTCGTGGGTCGCGGTGTGACCAGCACCTGCACAGATATCTGCTGCTGTCCTGCAGAACACCAGTACCAGCCAGCATCTCTCATCTGCAGCTTCTTTAAGGTTACAGTGAAAGCCCCAGTTCTGTCATCACTGATGGCCACTGAAGTGTCTTCGTAGCTCCCGTCAGAACCTGTCGCCAGACAGGAGCTCCAGTCTCCACTCCGACACCACTTCTTCTCACTCTCTCTGTTGGCAAGCAATCACAGGGGGAGTCAGTCAAGGCTGACTGTCCGTCAGCGTTTGACTTGGATTGAAGATTTCAAACAAATAACCATTATTTCTGGAGTTTATTTATGCTTTAAGAGCATTGTTTTAAAAGTGAGGGTTCTGCCTGGTCTGATTGGTAAAATACCCAGAAAACTGACAGAATTGTAACACGGTGAATGGGAGAATCAAATACCTGAATCTCACACTGTATTCACATTCAGCTGTGACACTGCTCCCTTCTTCCCCACTCAGTCGGTTGTTCACCACTAACATACCTGCAGGAAAGAAATCAACTTAGAATAAGAGCTTGCATTTCTAACCTGAGCGTTTTAAATGCATGAAAATTTTTATCTTTTTTCCTCAAGGATAAATAATGCTTCATGAGTTCAAATCAATCCATTACTCACCATGATTGACCTTGATGTTAGTGTATTCGACAACATCAGCACTCCACACACCACCTATCTCCATGCCACACATGTACCACCCAGAGTCATCCACCTTCAGGTCATTCATGGTCACGGTGAACACCTGGTGGACCGGGTCATCTAAAATGCTCACTTTGTCCACAGCTGGATCGACTGAACGGGGGTCATCTGTTCGGGCTAAGCTGGTGCAGAACTCCCTCATCCTCCCACGACACCAGTATTTCACATAGCTGGCATACTGTGGCTCATAATGACACGGGACTGTGAGGGATCGACCCTCCAGGACTGAAAACTCTTCCATGGTAGTTACCCCACAGAGGAAGGCTGATGGAAAGCAGAGATGGTTGAATGCTTGAACTTAAACTTTCAGTCATGCTGCAGTCAAAGCAGAACGGTTTCTCACAGTGGACATTTCTTATCTGTGATTGAGTAATGGGGGAAGTGGCCTTGAGCAACACTTAGTATCATATTTATGGTTCCAGTTTCCTCTGTACAAAACACTTTTCCTACTTTAAGTTCCCTCTCCATACTTCTTATTCCAAAATTGGATTATCCCTCTATAATACAGATTTGGGGGGACAAATATAACAGGCTTTTGAAGACTTGACAAAATAAACATCAAACATATTCTTGCCAAGGGGCACACAGTACGGAAGAAAAAAAACAAAAAAAACAAAACAAACACAAAAGCTTTCTCTGGTTCCCGCAGAAAATGGCAACTTTAACAGCCCTTCTAGTCTGTCTTCAACAAATGATAAATACAGAAAACTCATAAAATAGTAAAGAGCATGAGAATCATCTTACATTGTAGCACCAGTATTGGCCAAAAGCACAGTAATGAAGTGAGGGGGTTTGAGAATAGACATTAATCATCCAAAGAATTAGCTGCAGAAAGAAAGCAGCTGCAAAGACCTCTTTGTAAGAATATGACCTTAGTAGTCATAGTAATTACCTGGGATCCATGGTAACAGGCTGAGAGTGAGTATGACGAGCTGCGGCATGTTTCAGTGTCAGTTTGAGGTTTACCAAGTAAGTCCTCTCCCTTGTGTAAACACAGACTCCAGGTTCCGCAAGGCCCACTTCCCATTGGTCATGTGACTGTGAGTTGGATCCAGATGTTCCAGATGTTAACCATGTAGGCACCAGTTAGATTTTAATAGTGGGAGATACTTTTGGAGAAAGGAACCCTAAACTGACACAAATTAGACCACGGACCCCCGTCTGGTAAGATTTGTGATTTTAGATGTTTTATTTAAGGAAGTGTTTGAAACCCATGACCAAAATAGTCATACATTATGTCATTGTGTTACTTATGGATGAAATTATAATGAAAATAAATTATTCCTCTTTTTGCTGAGAACCCAGGGAAAACCTCTCAACCGGCTCCACTTTGAGAACACATATGACCTAAAAAGTGCATTTCCAGTATTTTTTTTATTAGCTAATGGTTAACTTTACAAGGTTGGGAACACCTTCACTGAATTCACCATTACCAAATGCAAAATATGTGAGAAGTTCTATAAAAATAAAATATTATTAAAAGAATTTTTGTAAGCCATTTGCTAACGTGAATCGCCAATATCCCAGGGGGATTTATTCACATTCTCAGACACTCCCTGTGTGGAGTAAACCTCCAAAATTAGCAGCTAGCAGGTGGTTAGCTTATGTTAGCATAAAGACTGGAGTCAAGGGAGAACAGCTAGCTTGGCTTCATCCAAAGTTAACCCACTGGCATCATTAAAGCTCACTAACTCACATGTTTATGGGGCACATGTCACCCCATTTTTATGCCCTAGGTTTATCTATACATTAAACAAACAAGATATAGGGTGCCTGCATGCTATGCTATGCTAAGCTAATTGCCCTCTGGCTGTAGCTCTGTATTTGGCGTACAGATGTGAGAGTGGTATCAATCTTCTCATCTAACTCTCTGCAAGAAAGCAAATAAGTGTATTTCCCAAAAATGTTCCAAAAACTATTCCTTTAAGGTAAAACACATCATTCTTACTCATACATCTCCTGTTTTTTATTATTTTAGTGCTCTTTTTCATAGCTTATTCTTCTGAGCAACCAAACGCTGAGTGCCCTCACCCCCCATGGATGCAGATAATTCGGTTGGCAGGCTACAATGAAATTATTTGATTTTGATGCCTGAACACATTGGATTTGGTCCAGTCTTCATTTGTTGGATTAAGCTTCTACACACACGCCCCTCAGCCACTGAATTAACAAACAATTATTCCAAGCCTCTCATTTTGCTCTGTGAAGGGTGTCAAGGATGTTCCAAAAGTCCCTTGTTTTTGTCTTTGCCTTTTTAGGCCTTATATGGTCATCCATTTCCTGGAAAAATGTAGGCAGGCCTCAGAATCGAAACTCAGCTTGTTCCCCTGGCACATCTCAGAAACGAAACATAACTTTCACAAAACTAATAATTCCTTGGCAGTCAAGTTCCATGACATATCTGGATATTCTAATATTCCTTTTAGCTGTGTGAGAGACTGGTTTACATTTCTGTTTGTCTCTGTTATAAGAGACATGAAACAGACGTTACTTTTTATGAAGTTGTGGCATCAAACTAAGCAAGATTATAACTAGATAGTCACAACTCTTGCTCTGTCTAACAGAGTAAACCTGATTAAAATATCAAGGAGAAAAGATCCTCTATCAGTTTCTCTGCCATCTTCCCCCGCACTTTTTCGTCAAAGCTCTGTCTCTGAAACGTCTTCATACTGCAACCTTGCATACATATGATTTAAGCAAAATGGTGCCATGATGCCTCCTAATGTTTGTTTTTATATTTGGGATTGTAATATTCATTGCTCAGTGGTTTGACAGTAATACCAGCACTTTGCTCAATAGGCCATTAGTCAAACTTGATGTTAGTTAATGACATTGTTTTCCTTCGAGTGTGAGAGCAAAAAGACAAATCACAATCCAATTTACTCCAGCATTTTAATTTCATGGGACTTTTGAAGAAAAAGTTTACTTGATTTTATGCATTCTATGCAATCCACTTTCAACTTTTTTTAAATTATTTATATATTCATCTTTTTTTATTTCTGTCATTATTTTATCATTATTATATCTCATTTGACATGCATGTTTTTAATATGTTTTTATGTTCATTTTATGTCTGTTTATGTGAAGCGCTTGGTGCATGTCATTTCTTTGTTGTAAAGTATTTTGTGCTATTAAAGGTGCTATAGAAATACAACTTTTTTTATTGCTGCATATCAGAAGGAAATATTGTACTTGTACTATTCTAATATTGTACTATTGACCATGCAACAGTATATGAAATAGCTTGAATGTACCTTGACCAAGCACAGCATTAAAATGTGGTTTACATCTAAATGCATCTGTAATAATTATACAATATTTTAACATGTAACAATATAACTGGAACATTTTTCCTACTTTTAAATTTCAAGTAAATGTTGCTGATAATATTTGCATCTTTACTTAATGTTTTTTTGAATGAAAGAATTTTATTAGTAATTGAGTTTACAGTTGAATCCTGCTTCCCTCAATGACAGAAAGTAGCTTCCAGTTACCTTTATCTACATATATCCAGGACAAGACATTGAATGAGTGGCATAATAAAGAATCAAAATGTTATAGAGCTTTTCATAGAGGGCCCAACACCCTCCTTGAAAAGCTTGGCATCAACAACTCTTCGTTTAGATTATTTTAGTTCATGTGTTCAACTTCTCGACTCTCCATTCCCCAGAATCACCACTCCTACTGCTTCCTGCTAACCCCTTTTCAAAAGTAATGGTGCTAATGTCATCTATAGAGCTAGGCAGATTGGCAACCCCTTTGTCTGCTATTAAATCAGCACAGGAGGAGATTTAGATCTAACCTTTACAGGAGAAACCTGTAAACTTCAGCCTATTTTTCATGGCTGTATGCAAGGCAGTTTCATATCAAGCTCAATCCGGTAAGATCTGTCAGACCTAATAGCTAAAATCAGTACATTCTGTGACAAATGTAAGTGAGCATTGGTAATGCCCCAGTTTAAAGCCATTGAGCTGGAAAGTGTTTGACTCCATCAGAAAAGCGGACCCTGCATACTCTGGGGGGTAATGTTCACTGGGTCTGCTGCCCAAGTGGAAGGAGTTCACCCCGCACACTTGCTCTCATTGGTTCAAGGAAACACAGCACTGTAGCCTTCAGCTTAAGAAATGATGCAGTCAGCGGGTTCAGAACTAGTTCTACATTGTTTTGACGGTGGTGGAGGAAATAGTCAGATCCTTTATTTAAGCAAAAGTAGGTGTAGTTTTCTGATAATACTAATACTAACAAGGCATTTTTACACTGTGCTTCTACTAATGTATAAAAAACAAACAAAGTTATTCAGAATCAACCCTTTCAGAGATTATATTATTGGATCATTATTATTGATACATTAACATGTAATCAGCACATAACTGTTGTGGCTAGTGAAGGTGGAGCTTTGATCACTTAATATTCTGTTGGTTTTAATGCATCATGTTTTATTTGTTTCTAATATATTTTTGTGTGTAAAATTTTAACCTGCAAAGTGATTAGTCACTAAATCTGCCAGATAAATATAATATGGTAAAATGTACTCCTTGCCTGCAAAATATAATAGAGCTGAAAGATAGATTAGCATAAAATTTAAATGCACTTCTTCTGAAAATGAACTTAAGTTTCCATTACTGTGTAAGGAGCCCTTCTCCTACCATTTCTCATAACCAAATGGATTTTGTTTTTTTTTCCTTTGTCGCTCTTCAAACAGTCAGTTCTCTTTGCAATAAGCAGATCTAAATGCAGACACACAACTCCACCAACACTGATGTAAAAAGTCCTGCTGTATGTATGAAGCTGCAATATGAAAACACAGGTCAGTGTAATAAAGGAAGGCTAGAGAGAGATAACGTACCCGTACAGCAATATTCCCTCATCTGATGGATTTAAAATTTCATTTAAAGAAAACTAAAGAAAACAGAGGGAGATTGTGATGTTCCAATGTGAGAATATTAGATGATATAATTTATCTTTTTATTTCAAACGATGCTTGTTTAGAACAGCATCTGTTAAGTTTAATGCTTAAGAGATTCAGATCCTTTGACTGTTTTTGGACAGGCACAGTATATGCAATAGTCTAATCACAACCATGTTTATTTTTCTCTATCTGAAACAGTTTATTATTACTGAACGCAATTTATTTTGACTTTTATGGTTAAAAACAAATTGGATGGACAAGACTTCATTATAAGAACTGCTACGTTATTCACAAGATGACCATTTCAGTTGTTTTTTATTTCCTTGTGTCAGTGCAAAAAGGGAATGCTTAACAAATCTTTACATTTAAAAAAAATGACAGAAATTAACCATTTTATCAGTAAGAAAATTGTACTGCATCACATGTGACAAGTTGCAACCAATTCAGTGTTGAAGGTGGGATCGCACAAAAGCAGATGCAGCATCATGTCTTGAAGGGGAGGTTTGATAATTTCTCTTCTCGTGAGCTTTAGGGAAAAAAAAGAAAAAAGAAGTGGTAGGATTAGTGACATTGAGGTTATGGAAGTTGTTATTAAGAAGCAACTGAGAAACAAGAAAACAGTATGGCCTTTCCCCCTGTCCGCTGGTCTAAAAATTTAATAACAGTTTTCTAGCAAAGGGAAAGCAATATGTGGTATCATGTGGATCTCCCCTGAGAAGTGAGACTGAAGTCTGCCTTATCACATGTACTATACGGAGCTGCTCCACTGAGAAATAAGTAAGGACCTGGCATGGATGGTTAATGTGACTGAGAGCACCCAAAGGACAAGGGTATGTGTCGTGTTTTATGAACATAAAGCAATATAGTAAAGTGTATATCTGTTTTAATATCCCATTTATTGTCCACTGAGTGACTGTGTGCTATAGCGACAGATGGATATCGCAGGTTTGGGTTACATTCTTGTAGACTTTCTCATATTCAAAAAAAGACACTGATGGTAGTTGCGCATAAATATATCTACACTGTAGCAATGGAGCTGAATAACATTGACATTTTAAGAATCAGACTTTAATGACAAACATGTATGTAAAATATACACCTTCTGAGAGGGGGGCACTGTAAGTTGGGTCCACATCCGTTTCAACCAATGAAGTTCATCACAACCAGATGGAGGACAGTGTGAGCGAATAGGAAGTCAGCGAAGGCTCTCTCTGGAGAGATAGACAGGAACTCTCCTTTGTTCTGTGGATTGATCTGGATACGAAGACACACTGGGAGGAAAAAGACATGAGGATTTAGTGTTAGTTTTGTACACCTGTACACCCCTAAATAACACAGATGTATTAGGACTACAACTTAAGATCACTTTCATAATCATTTAAATTGTTAGTTTTCAATTGTCAGTTTATAGCAAATATAACCACAAATATTTTCAATTCATAAATTCATCATAATAATAATGATGATCATTTTCCCTTGAGCTATACTGTAGTTAAAAAATCCTCTCCCTCAGTGAAGTAACAGCTTAGTTGTGTTCACATTAGTTTCATCAAATTTTAAAAGCTTCCAATGATGAAATAGTTAAGTATTACTTGAATTTTAAGTTTGACAAAACTTATATCACCATGCAGTAAAGATGAGATAATTGGCAGATTAATTGAAAAAAAACATTTAGAAACAGATTAAATGCGATAAACATCATTATTATCATATCAACCCAACTGCAACATCTCACCCAGGTTACTGTTTTATAGACTTATTCACAAGTCATTTAGTCATGTCAACATAACCCGAGTAACAGGGTTTTCACCATGCTCCAGCTCCACTATGAGAATACAACAAATTATTAAAATACAGTCGGATTATTAGATACATCCAGTTAAAACTAATGCATTTTGATGCTTATACCCAGTTAAAACTGATGGCATTATAGCCGCCATGAAGGCTTTAATGTGCAGAGTTCAATGACACGTTTGTGCTTTACGGTCATTTTCGGGGCTGTAGTTTGTGGTGCTATTGAAGTGCATTGCGTTACATATTATAAACTGTGTATACATATTATAAAATAATCAGGTTGTTTCTAATATTTAGTCTGATAAAAAACAAAATAAATTAAAAAAAAAAAAAAGCTGGCTGCACAGTATGCTATTAGCCTGGCTAGCTAACCTGTGTCTGCACACACGATTACTAAAAAGGCCACTCGACCAGCGGCTGAAACCCTCGAACTTCCGCGTTGTATTTTGCACCGACAAAACATAACAACATTTAACTGGAGTTATATTTACCTGCGAGGATGAACGAGCCCACACATGAGATGAAGCCCGACAAAAAGCTGTTGAAGGGGAAGGTGCCAACCAGCAGGCAGTAGAGGAACTGTAGAGCTCCCGTCAACAAGATGTACAGCAAATAAGCGTCCACCACTTTCAGCTTGTTGGGCGTCGAAGACGTGTACTCCTCTAGAAACCGAGAGATAACCGATATGACTGAGTTCGACATGATTTCTGCCTTGTAATTTACACAAAATGTGTCAATAAGCGAGGTTTGCACCGGTCCTCTTCCTCAGTCGAATGAGTGACGTGTCCTCATCAACCGGAAGCGGCCTTGGTGTTACAAAAAATATATTCCGAGTCACTCGGATCGAGGAGCAAAAAGACGGTTGTTGAATAAAGGATAATTGGTGCCGCCCACACAGAGTCCTTTAAACAGAGATATGCTAAAAGTAAAATGATGTCTCACTCTGTCAGTATTTCGAGATGCAGCTGCGTTAACCGCCTTATTGATTATCACAAATTTTAGAGGGACCCGAAAATGCCTGATCTATTAATCACAGAATCTCACGAAGGTGAATTTTTTCCTTCAGTGTTGAATTTCACCAATTATTAACCCACAAAACACACACAGCAGCAATACACCAAAATAATACACATAATGTACGTTCATTTGCTGTTTGTCACCAACAAACAGGGACTGGAAAGTGCTAGCGCTTTTAAATACACGCAAAAAAGCAGGTTTTCTCAATGACCGTGATCGCCTACTCAAACTTTGTATTAGATGGATGATGAGTGACGAGTGAGGCGTTTGCTTGCCGTCAATGCGTCTTCACAATAGACGATCTTTGTGTGTGATCAGCTGATTTAGGACTTTGCGAGTTACAAAACAGTAGAATAACAACAACGTGCAGTAACTTCGCGTAATTTCAAAGAAGGTACACAGGAATGCATCGCAAACCTTGATTTAACTGAATATAGCCACCGGAATATGTCAACCAATGGATCCTGCTACAACCGCAGCCCCGATACAGAGCGACTGTGAGACGGAGTGAGTAACTCACAGCCGAAAAGCCGAGTACAAACCTCCTTCTGCGCACTGTTTTACATGACCTGCTAGCTAAACTTACAAAAATGTTTATTGTGTCGCTTTCTCTTTTTAAGACACTGTGTGTAAGACAGTATTTTACTGTAGTGATGTGTCAGTGCACCCTGAAGCTATGTATAAATATAATGTTAGATGTTCTCAGACTTATTTAGTGTGACAATGTGACTTTACACTTATAAGAATAAAACCAATTTTATGTAGCCTCCTACCTTTATATCACAAATGCCGATATCTCTGTAAACTGTGACTTGAACGTAAACTAGTCTACTGCTGAATTACTGCTGGAACTACCTGAATCAGTAGTGTACCATTAATAGGCATATAGAAACCACATCCAACAGGAGTGGGGTACCGTGTGTTATAGTGGTTAAATTAGATTGTGTGGATCTGTCCTTTTTAATTGTCACTGATTGAAAAGGGAGAACAGCAGTGGGAGAGCCACTTATCCAAATGACTCAGCAAATCTGAACTGCCGGTTGATTGGAGAACAGGTGTAAGGTGTGGAGGTGTACCTGCTGTATGGATGGTGGAGGCAGAAATGTGACACTGGCCAGTTTCCACCTCCATTCGGAGCGGAAGGGGTGGGACGGTGGTGGGTGGGGAGGAATTATAAACCCATCTCAACTCAGTTTACCCACCTTTTTGTATTTCAGAATAGCAACTAAAACGTGAGTAAGACCCTTTTGTTGTAAATGTGTTGAATTAAACTGCCTGAAAGAAAAAAATAAAGATTATGAATAAGAGGTCATAGGTAACCAGGATACATATTAATCACTACATCACTGCGGTGGGTCATGGCACTAACCAAGGGTGGACAGTAACAAAGTACATTTACTTGAGTACTGTACTTGGGTGTATACACTTAAAAGATCAATATTGTCCCTTTGACTCCACTACATTTCTGTGAAGTTCTTGTTGCTTTGAAGTAGAGCTTTTAGTCAATGCAATTAATTTCCTTTTATTTTGAAAATGTTGTGCTTGCAGCATGTTTGAACAGCTCAGTTTGAACTTGGCAGTGGCCTAACGATGGCTACGTTAGATAAAGATGAACCAGAAGATTGTTCACCAGAGCACCATGGTCTGATCTAAAGTGCATGTTTGGAGTTTTGGAAATTAAAAATCTGACTGAACAACTTTCACTTGTACTGGAGTAATATTTGACCAGGAGTATCTATACTTTGACTTAAGTAATGAAGTTATATATTTTGTCCACCTCTGGCACTGACTTTGATTGACAGCATGATGGTCGTGAAACGTGACACTCCTGGGTGTGTGTTATTTGCACAGAGCACAAGCACTAAACGATAATACTGACAGCACTGGCTTTAACCTTGGACTCTCTCCAGGTGCATTAGTGCTGTGCATTCAGCAAGCACTGAACATTTCCTCTATCTGGTCAGTCTTTACATGACTTTGTGTTGGTTCCTCTCCTGTTAGGCCACATTCAGTCTGGAGCTGGTGGCCTTCCTGGCGTCCAACCTCCATGTCCCTTTTGAAGACGACAGAGTCCAAGATTCTCGCCTGTAAGATTGTTTTCACTTGTACTGGCTAATTATATAACCACTTGGAATTAATATGAATGTAAGTAGGCACTTAAATTATATATTAAAGCTGCTAACCTTTTATAAAATGTCTGTTTTTTCCACTTTGAGTGGCTGTAAGTAAAATATGACAGTTATTTACTGACTTATGTGTCACTGGCTACAGCACAGAATTTCATTGAGGATATACTAATCATTACTTTTCTTTGCCTCATCACGACAGGTATTCAGAATGATCTATGGGCCAGGTTTGTGACCTTACCAAACCAGGATCGAATATGGACTTTGACCCTCACCAACAAGGTGTTTCACAAACCTGCAGGTAGGTGACTACCCTTCTCTCAGTCTTTGTTTATCAGGAGGCAGCAGCTGTAACTCAGTGCTCTATGCACTATAAAACCTGTAACAAAATTCCTCTGTTGCCCTACTTTTCTGCTAGCCGCTAAGACTCCCCTGGTGATGGTCCATGGGTTTGGAGGAGGGGTAGGGCTGTGGATCAGGAACCTGGACGCGCTTTGCCGATCACGGCCTGTCTACGCCTTCGACCTCCTGGGATTTGGCAGGAGCTCCAGGCCTCCCTTCCCCTCAGATTCTGCCAAGGCAGAGGAGCAGTTTGTCAACTCCATTGAAGAGTGGAGACAGTCTGTAGGCCTGGAGAACATGATCCTGCTGGGGCACAGTCTCGGGGGGTATCTGGCGACCTCATACGCCATCCAGCACCCTTCCAGGTAGTAATGCTGATAAGATACTAACTAAAACCATATGCAAAACATCAACACATCAGGAATGGCTACAACACCAATTTAGTGTTTTCGGCTGCACCGCAACAGCGAGGCCAGCCCTAGAAACACGAATGTCCATGACTGACTGACTGAGTGCTGAAGTTACACCATTGGCTGTTACTCTTTCAAAACTGGGGGGATTTAAAATAAAAACGATCTTCATCCAGACGACCATTTTAGCTCTGTATTGGAACCAAACACTATCCATACTTTCACACCTCACCATTCATGTACACTAGGCATGTGTGTGTGCCAGTGTAAACGGGAAGCACTACTACAATTGGTTTCTTGCAGAAAATACTACAAACAAGGAACAGCAAAGGCAGTTGTAGCATTAAAATGCAGAATTTAGCTGCACAACAGCTGATAGCAAAGACAACAAGGTCAGTAACACTTGTAATTCAATATCCATTTTGCCTTCACCACTGGTAGTGGTGACTGATAAAGAGATGCGTTGTAAATGAAATGAGATAGTGTGGACGTGGCCTATGTCCCTCATTCAGTTGATCAGCTTGGAAGTGACTGCTGGTTAACATGGTCTTAATGGGACATGCTTAAGTCACTTTCATACAGAAAAATATGTAAATGAGAACAGCTTTATCAGGAAATATATCTGAGTTTAAGATAACTACTTTTTAGTTGGTCAACTGTACAGTTTTAAAAATATTTTTATGATCTTGTTTTATTGGAGCTGGTTGCTTAAAGTGCTAGCATTTTGGGAAATGCCCTTGTTCACTTTCTTGCTAAGAGTTAGATGCCGCTCTCATGGTTGTATGGTAAATGTGGAGCTACTGCCAACAGCCATCAGATTAGCTAAGCACAAACACACCTGTTAAACCACAGCCTGTCATTTTTAACCTTGAGTTTTTGTACGGATTAAATAAACAAAATATTAAACATCAAATACTGAGCTTTAGAAGTGCTGGTGGTCAAATTTTGTTTCCTATGATCAGAGCCAAACTAACTGGTTACCCTGTTACCCTGTGTCTTTATGCTAAGCTAAGCTAACAGACAGCTAGCTGTAGCTTCACAGGTATGAATCTTCTCATCAAACTCTTAAAAATGTTAGCCTACTCCTCTACACAAACCTTAAAGCTGCACTAACTGATATAACAGCATCTCCCCTCAGCTCTACAGACTATTGCTTTGGTTTTATGGCTTGAGACTACAGTAAAAAGGAGTTTAAAGAAGTGTTCACCTGTGGGCACCAGGTGACTTACAATGACCCCTAATGAATACTAATGTTGCTCAGTGTGGATGAGTAAATAGGCAAATGTTTGCTGACACATTTGTCACAACCACTTTATATCCATCCATCCAACCAACCATCCATCCATTTTCTTCCACTTATCCGGGGTCGGAGGACTTATTTATGCTTGTCAGAATTTATGTTTGCAGAGCTGCTCATGCAGTACAAACAATATGTGAATATAAAGTAAATGAGGAGCTAACGTTTGAATCCTTTTATAAGTTGATAATTTGTCTAGTGTTTGTTCACAGCTTTTTCCACTGCTCCCCAGTGGCCAGAGGAAATCAGTTAATGCTGCTTTTGTTTTAAAACGTATAAAAATGCCAGTAGGAATCTGCTGATATGGTTGAAAAAATATCAGATATTGATCTTGAATTTTCACGACCCCCTTCAAAAGTGCATCTGTATTGTCTAGTAAAGAGACAAAGCAAAAATTAGACAAAAAAAATATACAAAAAGACAGCAATGTACGCCACCTTTATGTTATGTGTAGGATGATGACAAATAAATGCCAGTTAATATAATATCATAATGGCCTTCTACTCTTTTCTTCCAGAGTGTCTCATCTTATCCTGGTAGACCCCTGGGGTTTCCCTGAGCGACCACAGACACAGACCGAAGAGAATCGTGGTCAGGGGACAGAGGTGGTGAAGAGGCCGTCCCCCCCACGCTGGGTGAAAGTTATTGCAACAGTGGTTTCCTTCTTCAACCCACTGGCTGTCATTAGAGCAGCAGGCCCATGGGGTAAGACATGTTACTGTTTATCTAAAAGTGTGCTGTGCCAGATAACACTCTGTCCACTCACCTCACAGTCTGACACTGATTCAGGCCCGGGCTTGGTGAACAGATTCCGCCCCGATTTCAAAAGGAAATTTGAAGATCTGTTTGATGACGACACCATGACGCAGTACATCTACCACTGTAACGCCCAAACCCCGAGGTCCGCCGTCACACACATCACATAATCCCTTTTTTAACAACAGAATATAATGCCTGCAAAAAGCTGACCCATTTTCTCTCTTTCCCTCCTCCTCCTCCTCCTCCCAGTGGTGAGGTGGGTTTCCGTGCCATGTCAGAGTCTCTGGGCTGGGCGAAGAGGCCCATGCTGCAGCGGGTTCACCTTCTGCCGCCCTCCATGCCCCTCACCATGCTGTATGGAAAGTGGTCCTGGGTGGACAACTCATCTGGGTACAAAGTGGTCCAGATCAGGGACCAAGCCCACACCAGAGTGCTGGTGAGTGGAAATGCAGAATACAGACATGAGGGAGATGTTATCCAATTAATATCTATAAATGGTGTAGTTCAGCTTTGAATTAGTGTACTTTTTAATTCAGTTCATAATTATTTTTGTCTTCAGTAGAGAAATTTGTGTCCACATAATCACTGACTGTGTTCATTATCTCTGTTTATCTGTTCCACCCTGCAGCTGATAAATGAAGCGTCTCACCACGTGTATGCTGATCAACCAGAGGAATTCAACAAAGTGGTCGAAAACATATGTAACTCTGTTAACTGACTGTGCGTGTGTGTGTGTGTACGTGTGCGTGCCCGTGCAAGGGCTGAAAGTATGGAGACAGTTCATCATGGTGGTTTTAGCAGTGCACGTGAGGCATGATGGATGGTTTTGCTTTGGGGCAAATTGATAAATGATGTAGCTCTACATACGTGAGCTTGAATTCTATTCTCATTGTACCAACTTATTAATATCATTGTGATAAAATCCTTTGTCGATATGTGTAAGCCAGTGTATTTAATAGTAGTATGCTACATTTATTTATAACATATGATTGAATTTATTTGTGAATTTAAAGTGTGTTCATACAGAGCCTTGATTGAAATGCTTAATCCAGTGCTGTATCCTGCACTGGGTTTATGTGTTACAGAGCAACCACTTCACACTTTTTAAATGTGCCTGACATCAACCATTTAAGTACTGTATGTCATATTTTCTTTGACTGCTGTTTTTCCACTTATACCTCTCCTACTGTGTCAAACAGCTATTTGTATTTTATACCTTTTAAGATAATAAATGCTCATTTGTCAAACTGTCGGCTGTAGGTCTGCTACTGTAGAAATCTACATGTGATGCACTTTCTGACCCAACCAGCAGAGGTCAGTAACAAGTGTCATTTCTATGAGGTTTACAGTGCTGAAGGTTTCTACCTGTCTGCTGTGGAAGAAACGCTGCCTATTTAAAAGTAAATAGATATTATCAGCAGAATATATTTCAGGAGTAAAAATACCCATAATGTTTGCACAGTAGCCCCTGTCATAAGGGTTTAAACAGCATTTTTATGTAATTTAACCATTCTATATACTGTTGGTCAGTTTAATTTACAATAATGTATAATTAAAGAAAATTAATAATGAAAATATTCAAGGAAAGCACAATTCTATCAGAATTGCACTTCTGCACAGTACCTGAGCAGAAGTAGTTAGTCATATCCACCACTGCTGTCTGTGCTCTACATCATATGTTCAATTGTTATAGCCTACTTCATGTCTCCCGGTTAGTGGTGGAAGATGTAAAAGCAGCGAGGCCACTATGTGAAAATACTCCATTACAAGTTACATGTAAAAAAAAAACACATACAGAGCAAGACGTTTATACTGTACATATGAGCATGAGCAACAAATATAACCCAAAGCACCAAGTCCCATTGCCAGTGAAGCCAATGTATCTCCAAATATGGGGATTAAGACTGAATAAACTTGAATAACTGGAATACATTTTCCTCAGTTGAAAAAATCCTTCCATTAAATCATTCAATCCTTTTGTATTATCTGATTCATGCACTGACACGGTGTAGGAGGCAGGGCTGTTCATCATAGCTCATGAAAAGTTGACATTTTGGATGATTTTTAATGAACTCATGTAAGGTTTTATATGTAAAAACTTAACATGAAAAGTAACCACTATATATAGCTGTGCTAAATTAATGCAGTGGAGTAACAAGTACATTATTTCCCTATTTATTTTTTAGTGGAGTGGTGTATTAAGTACAATGCAATGGAAAGACTCAAGTACAACAACTTCAAAATTACACTACAATATATACAAGTGAATACACCCAGTTACATTCCACCACTGCCCTGTATGTCATGCATATGTGCAGTCAGTCAATAGACAGACCCCAGCACATTACGCAACAAATAAAACGCAGGGAAGCAAAAAAAAAAGAAAAGAACATGGTGGAGACAAACCTGGCTAATCTATATAGCTTGGTCCTGACTATCAAGCTTTGTTGACCAAAGCATGTAAGAGAAAAAGAGCAAAAGTGCAGTATGTAGGTCAAAGATAAAATGTAATCACAGTTTTGAGCACAAGAGGCGCCAATAAACACGTCTGACATCAGTATCTGAAATGATGAACTGTAGCAAAGGTGTGCCACGTGAGTCACTGTTGAGTAATCCCTTGTGCAACACGTTCTTCTTTTTTTTCAATCAAATAGAGTAATATATGCAGAAATGGAATCTTACAGGCCGACACTTGCCTCCCCTCTAGTCTCTCAATTACATAGTTTTGCCTTCTCTCCCCTCTAACCATTACAGGCTTGTCTAAAGGTGTATGGAGGTAGAAAACAACTCTTCAGACGTCATTTCAGTGTCAATTTTATTTCCAATGCAACACAGACAATACAAAAAAACAGTCCAGGTAGATACGGTAGATAAATAGTATAATGTTATCAAAATAGTTCCTTCACATTGTACTTTGAGTGCTGAGGTTACACAGACTACAACTAGTAAAACTAAGGTGAATGAAGGCTACTCTGGCTTCTGTTGTGATGTAGTTGTCTACGATTCACAGCGAAGGCAAGTCCAATTTTAAAGGTAAATTACAAAATACTGAAAAACTCATGTCAGTGTAATTATACACACAGGATGGAGGAAATACACACAGGACATTCAGAGCAACACCTGGCAAAGTTCAACTACAAAGAACATTTAGTGTCTGTGTTCTGCAAAAGGAGACGTTCATGAGCACTAACTTGTGGGGTTTTCCAAACAAAGGAGGCAATATGAATTTGCATCTCATCTGATGAATGAAATAACCTTGTAGCCATGTCCTTGCAGACTTCAATTTTTTTATCCAAATTTACATTGTCAATTATTATGGAAAATGGCTTCATCTTTCAACTTTGATCACAAAATTTCACATCAAATGTAACAGAAGAAAAAGGGAAATTCCAATGTGCCCTTTGCACAATGTCAACATCAATTTCAGCATCATTCCCTTTCAGAACATTTCACATTGCCCCTCCATCATTGAAGCCATGTGAGGTTCATTTTGTCTGAAAGTACTTTTAACATATATTCTTTTCACCAAGCTATATGTATTACACACATACAGAACATTATTAGTATGATCATTATAACAAAATACTGATAACCTGACTGCACCTTCACAAGATTTGTTCAGTGTATTTGTAATATGACAGTTTAATTACTTCAACATTTGAATGTTTGTTATTTAAGGCACTCCATTTGCATGCTTTTAAACGCTGCTTCATACTTCATCACCATAGGTTTAACATTTTAGAGCAGGCAGATGTGTGAAATTATATTATTTCAAGTTAAAAAAATAGTAATACTGATAATACTGCATTTGTTAAATGTATATTCATAGTTTTAAAAATATCAAAATTCAAACTTTGCTGTATAAAATAAACAAGATAGTTTAAGATAAAGGAACTTAGCAGACTTTATATAATTAGAGGCTTTCAGTCTATATTTCATAAGAAAAGAGCAATGTTGCCATAGCGACCCTCTCACTGTTCAAAAACGACGATATCCGCCACTCCGTGCACTTGTGTGAGCTGTTTACAGTCAAGAGACGCCACCAGCTTCCGGGATCCAGGCTGGGTGGGGATGAAGTGCTCCGTCAACGTCACTGTGGAGTGACCACCGACGTCACTGAGAGGGACAAGGAGGAGAGAAATGTTAGTCAGGAGAAGGAAAGTAGGTGGGAAATGTGTGTGTGAGCGCTGAGAGATAAGGAGGCAGAGAGAGAGAGTGATGTGATATCTCAAGTACTTACCCTACAACCACTTCATGGCCCTTTTGTAGACCCAGGCCCTCCACTCTGAACACCACATTCTTAAGCATACGTGGCAGCGGGTTGGTGAAGGTGATCTTTGCTGCCATCTCCTTACCGACCACAGCTTCTCCCAAAGGCTGCAAAACACAAATTCCAGAAAAATGTCACAAGGGTTGAACAAAAATATAAATCTTATATTTGAACCCCCATCATAAAAATACTGTGCAAAATGACCTATTAAATGCCGATCGAAAACCTACCCTGATGCTAAGGTCAGGTGTGCGGAGCCTGAAAGTGGTCTGGTTGGCTAACACTTGCTGGGTCTCACTGACTCTTCCAGACAGGGTCAGCATCAGGGCCGCCTGGTCCACCAGCTGGTTTTGGTACTGCTGGTAGGGCAGCACCCACTCAATGGTCTTTTCTGTGAGGACAGATATAGAAATAGTTAGCATTTTTACTATGCAAGTACTTTATTTTAAATCATTAGCTTATTAGCTTAGCATTAAAAACGGAAACAGCTCGCCCGCGTCCATGGCCTCGGGAAGTAGCGGTGGTGGCGAGAGCATAATTTTTTTTATAGTGTTGACATGACCGGTTTTACTCTCCCTTAGACTTCTAACCTTGACAGAGACAGTAGAGAAATAGAGTATATACTGTGTAGAAGATCTTTACCTTGACCCTAACCATTCTCACCCCCTCGTGCCTAAACCTAACCAATCAAACCAGCAAAGGCAACGATCATTAGCCAATCAGAGGCAGTGTAGGGCGGGGCCTGTCAACTCTAAGGTAGGGTTCGTAAGTGTACATCCGGCTGGTGTAGCATTGATAGCTAGTCGAAGGATAAAATCATTGCGGATTTTTTTTTTGGCAAACAGAGCACAAATGAAGTCAAGCTTTCCCAGGAGAGCAGCTCCACCAGCTCTACATCGTTTTTTTCGTTTGGTTGCAATTTTTCCTCGGAGACGGAGACTTCCGCCGACTGCACCCATATCAGCGTCAGCACCGCTACCGCAGAGGAGCCTGTTGCTAACAGGTGTCAGGCTAGGACTGAGTTGGCGGCATTTGAGGAGCCTCTAGAGTCACCCAACTTAAATTTCCGGCCAGACGTTTTGGGAAAGAAACTTTCAGCCGTGTATTTAGCTGCACCTGCTTGGTTTACTAAATGTAAGTGGCTCCATTACGTGGCGGAGTGCGGTCAGCGTTGTCTGTTTTGCTTGTGTGCAAGAGGCAGCAGAGAGAAACCGGTTGATTTGGTGCCCCTTCACCTTCCCGAGTCAAGAGCTCTGTTTACAGAAGCTGAAAAACTCATAATCTGTGCCTGCCCATCTCTGTGGCCTCATCCGAGCGGACGTTCTCCACCTTGTATCACGTGAAAACATGGCTGCACAACACCATGACCCAGGAGAGACTGACTCACCTCTCCCTGGTGCATGTCCACACTGACATTTTGAACTCACTGGACATTCGTGCCCTTATGAAAGACTTCATTTCCACAACACCTGAGCGCAAGGCCACATTTGGATTATTGTAACTACTGGAGCACCGCGCCTGCTGCTCAAGGTAAGTTATTTGGTTTAAGCTGCCCACGAGCAGTTTAATATTCAGTTGTCAATTACTTTTAACATCACCCTGATATACCTTTAGAAAAAATCTGCATATTTGGATATGTTCTTGTGTGCAATGGGCTTTTGGACATGTGTAATGCAACGTTATGGCATTATTGTGAGCTTATATTGTGCAATAGCATTTCACTGAGCCTTTTTTTTATAGACCTGGCTGCTGTTGTTGGTGCTGTTGCTGCTTTTTTGGCCTGTGTTGTAGTAGTGTTGTTGTAGGCCTATGTTGTATTTTTATGGGTTGTATTGTATGCGGTTGGGGCAAAATGCTCCTCCCACTACAGCACCCCCCAGCTTACAACATCTTCCCATGGCCCTGCCTGCGTTTGTCCAAAGGTAACAAAATGCACCTTTCAGCACCTCCACAGCTCAGTAACTAACATGTTACATCTTGTTTGTTTAATCTGAGCAGAAACGTGGACTTGTTTCAGTTTTTGTTAGCTAGCCTGGCTATGCTAACCCGCTTCTGGGTGTAGTTTCATATTTAACCTTACTGGAAAAAGAGTGGTATCAATCTTCTTGTCTATGACGCTGTTTAACAGATTTTTTAAATCCTGGACTCTTACAAATGCGACCATGAGAGAAAGATTTAATTTGAGCATAACACTAAAATTATAGCTTAGCCTTCATTGGCTTAGCAAAGTTTCCCCAGCTGTTCCAGTGCAATAAATTGCATTAAAGCCAGATTACTGTATGCCAGAAAAGATAACGTAATCTTCCTCTTACAAATAAACAGTTAGGTCCATGAAAACACCTACACCCTTGCTCAATTCAGTAAATTCAGGGTTTGCTGCTGCAGCCTTACTTGATCTGGTATGACCAGTAGCTTATGGCGTCTAGTGTTAGCTGACTATATCTAGATATTGCTGTGTGACAAACTCAGTTCACTGACTTCATGACTTTTCGACACTCATGACGCTACTGTTACGCTAAGTTTTAGCATTTATCATCAGGTCATTATTGTCACTTGTGGGCACATTGTTCGTACAGTTGCTATGGTAACACATCAAACATATACCAAGCAATATTAGCATTAAGCAACTAATCACTTCATCCATTGTTAGCATAAAAATATTGACTATAGCAGCATTTAAACTTAGTTGGAAGCCAACCTTCATTGGGCAAGAGCTCCACAGGCATCTCCTCCTTCTTGATGGTTCCCTTCAGCACACCGGTGTAGTACATGACGGCCACCTGGCTGTGCAGCGTTGTCCGACGAGGCTGTGAACTCAGGTTCTTCACCAAGATGCTCAGCTTGGCGTCAGCACCCATCCTGGGCCCCTCGCCATCCATCTTCACCTCCACGCTAACGTCCTCTGCCATGGGTTCGGAGTAGACGTCTGGCTTGCTGCCATAGCGACTAGCAGTCTCCACAGCGATGCGTTCCTCTTCTGAACCTGGTAGAGAAGTGGGAGGAGAAAGTGAGTGCGCCTCATTCTGTCTGAGGTTTCAGGATTTATTGACAGATATAAGAGATATGGCATGCGGTTCTTCCAAACTAAACAAACGGAGACATGTATTTTGATATTGTGAAAAGCAGGTTAATCCTTATATTGTAACAGTTCCAAGAAGTGTTGAAATAATTCTGTCTGGTTCTGAAAAATATATCTAAGGTAGAGCTGCAGTTAGAAAAGTAAAATACGGCTGCTGGTACCTTCCTGGTGTTTGTACATGTTTGTGATGTCTGCCCGCTCGTCAGAGCCCACTGCCTTGGTGCTAATGTTGTGGCCGACAGCTTTTTTCTCACTATAGATCTGGCTGAAAGTACCATCCAGGTTCCTCTGCCAGTAGATCTTATCACTGTTGACCTGACAGGAAAAAAAAACATTATAAGCTCATAGTCATAGTGATGATGAAGTTGAACCAAAGTATCCCTCACTGTCATTTATTATTTGTCTTTTTTTTGGTCTGGTAAGAATCGGGGACCTGAGAGAGAAGTCCCTATTTGAAAACAGTGAAGGTGTCTGCTGAGAAGCAATAAATCATATCTATTAAATCTAAAAGATTCACAATTTACTCCTGTTATAGTTATTCCAGCTCCAAAGACATTTTCAGTTCCTTAATTCCATCAATTTAGTTTGACCATCTTCCTCTCATTTTGGTAATGCATCAAAATGAACCTAGAGGGGAACTAAATAACAAAGACCCCCGTTCACTTTACCAATTTCAGCACTCACCTCTGCGAAGACAAAAGGCGTGTCATGTTTGAGGTAGACTTGGCCGGAGCGGATGGCGTTGACAGACGCGGGGCCGCAGCGGAAGGTGCCCTGGCTTGTTTCCTGGGGAGTGGAGTCAACAGCCTGCCAGCCTCCATGACCAGGAGGCAAGTCTGGTCTGGCCATCCAGCAGTCGTTCCATACATGGAAGTTCCTTGAGGCAGATGGGATTGAGACGTTTTAATTTGAGTTTACCTGCAGAGGAACGGCTTGACATTTTTTTGACATTAGCTAAGTGTAAGAGACTGTTTCCAATCTCTTACACTTAGCTAAACTAGCAGTCTCATAATTAGTTTCATATTTAACAGACAAATATAAGAGTGTTAGTAATTTTCTCATTTAACTCTTGGCAAGAAATGTCTATTAAAGTAGAATATTTCCCAAAATTTAGAACTGTTCCCTAAAGATTACATAATCTTCAATTATATCATATGACGATAAGATTAAATCAGCTTCATTTAGCTACATAGCAACAAGTGCGCTGTTTACTTTTGCTACGTAGTTATCGAGGAGAGGTGTAAGACCGAGCAAGAAGGAACAAGAAATGGCACCCATCATTCCAAGGACATTCTAAGGACATACCAGTGAGCAGATAGATACCAAATTAGCCTCTGCAGTCTGAGAGGAGTTGCAGATAATTGAAAGAGCGTGATGTCTGCAGGGTTTCAAGTTGGAGGGGACTGCTTTCCGAGCAGATCTAAATATATGGTGCATTCCTACGGTATAGATTTAGCACCGAGCAATTTTCCTAGCAGGGAGTCCTGTCGCATCTTACCAGACAGAGTCACTATTGAGGTAGTCAATCGGCTCCATGTTGGCATCAAAATACACGTCTGTGGTGAGGGACACATCAGTATCATGAGCAGACTGGAAGTTGGTGACACTGCGGGCGGGTATCCCAAGACACCGCAGCACTGGAAACAAAGAGAGACAGATAGATTAATTAATTAAAACTGAATTTACAAGGTCATTTAATAGATGTTGCTAGATGCTAAGACATGAGCACGCAGACTTCACATTGCTCTATGTGCAGCCATCGTGCTGGCATGTGCATGGTTGCATGGAACTTCATTAACCTGGATGAATGAAAGCAACACATGTGGCTCTATGTGTGACAAAAGTAGGAGGTATGGCAGGAATGTCAGTGTAAGGTATTTAGGGTGAGAGTGAGCTATGTCTTGCTATCAGGAGCAAAGCTATGTGCTAAGGTTAGTTAGCTAACATGTGAGGGACCCTACATGCGCACAATGAATGAAATGTTCTGTCTCAGAGCAGTGAGAGCTAATGAAAAGGGCCTGATAGACGGGAAGTCTGGATCATGATCACTAGCAGACTGTTAATCAAATTCATGTGAACACTGGGAAACTCTTTTGTGGCGCTACACACACACACACACACACAAATACAAACATAACGCTACACACACTAATACATGTACACACACACACACACACAGTCTCTTCACATGCTTATAGCTTTCCACCGCCCACTAAGCTCCATAAACACACCATCACATGCTCTCTCACCTGTTGTAGTGACCCCAGAAAAGACCCAGCACTGTCCGTATGACACGGGCGTGCCATCGGAGGAGTGGTATTTCCTCAGGATCTCCACACTGCTGCTCCACGCAGAAGGAGAGACTCCATCGGCGTAATCTCCAGACCAGTTCCCAACCAGAACCCCAAAGTCATCCTGAGCGTTTATCTGAAAAGAGGATGGTGATACAGTCAATCACAACTGACAGATGATCGAGGCTTTAGCTACTTTTAAAGACGTGAGGAGATATTCTTGGCATTTTTGATGGAAATGTGGAGGTCTTAGTAATCTGGGTGGAGGTACGGTACATTCTGCAATTCATACGACTAACACATGATGGATATTTTTCCAGTAGTTCTAGATTTAATATGTTCCAAATTAATTCATCGTAGGACTCACAATGAACAATAAAAAAATATATCAAACTCGGTGCAGCAGAACCAGAGATATCGTCTTTTTTATTCTACACATTCTTTTTCATTGTCAAGACTAGGAGCCACGTTACCAACAATGCAACACAGTCACTGACTATTTGCTCTGAGATTTGGCTGTGTTATGCTAGAAACAGCTAATGTAGCCTCGGGCCGCTAGCCTCCAGCAGAGAACAGGAGCAGTCTACAGAGGTCTGGAGAGCTCACTTGTTTTTCTAACTCCACACTCCCAGATTTTCTTTATTTTCAGATTTACAGTTTTCGGTCCTGTTCGACTTTCATACATGCACTTGTACTTCCTGAGATCTATAAACAGGCTTTGATGAGAAAATTGGTGGCGTTTCCCTTTTGAATTTGAAGAAACTCAGTAAATTCTCATCAGAATTTTATTCCTGGTGATGTTGACAATGCTTTACAATAATTTCATACTGTATATATTATATAATATGAGTGCTACAGGGACTATTGACCTCAGTATTTCTAAAAATTTGACTATAGCCCAGATAATAATAGTAGCATTTCAAAATTTTATTAATTTATATAGTTTGGCTTAAAACATTTGTATATTCACATAATTGTCTCACCATGGCAGATAGGACTCTGACCACGTTGACAGCATCCCCTCGACCAGATGGAGGCATGTCACTCTTCTCCAGGACGAACAGACATGCATCCAGGATTCCTTCATGAAACTATAGTGGGAAAAAAAAACACAAAGTATTAATAAAGAAAATAATTCATTAAAATGGGGATTGGTCATATTTTGGGGAAATTGAATACATTACATACAGTTAAACATTTTAAAGGCAATAACTACATCACATGGGAAGCCTCGGTGGCTCAACTGGTAGAGCGCGTACCACATGGACTTAACCTACCTAACCGCAGCGGCCAGGGCTTCGATTCTGACCCTCAGCCCTTTGCTTCAAGTCATCCCTCAAGTATCTCTCCCTGACTTTCCTGTCTATCTCTCACTGTAATATAAAAGATAATTGCAAAAATGCCCCCCCCCCCCAAAAAAAAATATATGTAAAAATAGACAAATAACTACATCAATTGTTTACTGTACTTTTAAAAATATATATTTCTCAAACAAAAGTATCACTAATAAGATCTGCAGCTTGAACCAGCCTTCATGCTTTACAGTAGTCGTAGTAGTAGTAGTATTTGTGGATTGCTTTACGGCACAAAACAGGAAGGTGGTGCTGTTCTTCTGGAGGTAAAGTTGACATTGGTAGATGTTGGAAGAATGACAAGGCTGCTGAAACATAACTTAAAGCATGTGCCACTGATGATTAATTCAAGAAGCTTTTTCTGGAACAAAATCTTGTTTACAGCTTTAGCATTGTTTGCAAAGATCTTCATTTTGAAAACAGCTAGACCGTACAGTACCACTGAAGTGAAATAGAGGTTTATTGTCTGCTGTGATTGGCCAAAACCAGCAATGACTCGTTCCTACCAACAAACATTCCCTGTGTTGCTAAATATATTTTATCCTGTGAGCCGTACAGTAGAGCTCAATTCTGCCCAGCTGTTTTAGAAAACTACCAAGCATTTAAAAAAACTATATATATTTGGGAACCTTTTACATCCTCAGCAGGAACGAATGGCTGTGCAGTGTCTTGATTGTCCGTACCTGCCCGAAGTTCCATGTGCGTGCACCGATTTGTTTCTCTGTGCCGTAGTAAATCCTCCCGATGTCATTCAGCACGTACTCGTCCCTCTCCTCGTCGTCATCCAGGAACACTGTGTCCTCTGCAAAGACGTGACACAATTACATCTAAGTTTTTCATGCTGCGTCATACATGCACTGACGTTTTCTTTACTTTTAGATACAGATACAGATATCCGTAAGATCCTATTAAACCAACCACAAGAAATAAATACATGGGCACACTTTTTTTTTTTCTCTGGAACTGTAGGAATCAACTCAAATTTTTAGCTTACTTCCTGTCTGTGAAAGTGACCCCAAATTCCATGCTTTGTTTTCCTCTTAAATGACTAAACCCTAAAGGAATGTGATTTCTTTTCACAAATGATGTAAAAGAGTCTCCAAGGCCAGGAAATGGTTAAGAAACACAATGACTCCATGGAACTCGCAGTGGGGCCCACACTCATTTATAGGAAATAGTCTGTTTTGAGTGACATCAGAGCCACAGATTTGGGCGTTCACCCCTGACATGAGCTTCATAAATATGAGACTTTCTTTCTTCAACTCTTTATCTCTTGCTGTTTCCTCTGTGGTTACCGGTAGGTGTGGAAAAGGAACGTGACCAAGAATAAGAAAGGGAGAGCAGTGAAAGTAGCAGAGAACTCATGATGGACATGAGAAAAAGCAACTGACAGGAAGACGGTCGGTTTAGTCTTGAGGGATGATTGAGAGAAAGAGGGGAAGTTATGCTTGGGAGGGAAAAGAGGTGGGAGGGAGAATGTGGAGTGTAACAAGAGTGCCATCAGATATCACAGGAGAAAGTAGAAAGAGGTGAGGCTAACAGTGTCTGGCAGCTGTGATAATTGTGTTTTTCACTTCTTACTGAATATTTCTGGAATGTATGGCAAAACACAGGATGAAGGAGGAGGCAAGGGAACAGAGCAGTGGAGCGATGAAGGGAGTGTCGGGTCAGCAGATAGCAAGGAGGGAGCAAGACTGGGTGGGAGAGGCATATAAAGGCAGGAAATACACATGGAAGCAGTAAACGCAAGGGAGAGGACAGGTTGTCACCAGCTGCAGGATTACTGTGAGCTCGCCCCATGGCGTTTTATACAGTAATTGTAGGATTTTGACTTTTATGAGCGTGAGGGAAAGATTGGTCTCGGGAGTAAGAGATTGAACGAGGGAAAAGGAGATTGGGCGTGCTGCCAAAAGCAGCAACCCCATAATGAAAGACCGTCTTTTAATCAAATCCAGGTCCAGATTTTTTTTTTTTATTATTATTTTGCTGTGTTGCAAAAACGCTTCTTTTGTCAAATATCCTGTGCGGATAGTTTGCAGTGCTCAGCAAACTTAAAGAAACTCAAGAGAATACACAATGGGTCTCATTTCCTAATGCTTTTCTAAGTAAATAGTAGAATAATAACTACACATATTTAAAAAAAAAAAAAAAAAAAAAAACCCACAAAAAAACAATGTATGGCCTCTATTTACTTCTTACATGCAAACTAATAATTTTGGAAATAAGAAAATACTAAAGTTTTTAAGTTAACATGTTAACATAAGTTAAAAAATTATATCTATGTGTAAAAACACTTTGTGAATGAGGCCCAATGAGAGTCTGTTTAGTTTTAGACAAGGAGCTACAATGTTTTGTTTACAAACGTATAAACCTAATGTTTAAAGCTGCTATAATCCATATTTTTCTATTAACAATAGGATCAAATTACTATATATATTTCTATATATATATATTTCAGCTCATTGTTTTGGCTTTATGACCCACAACTTTAGTGTTTTTGGTCTTCCAACTGTTATTAGCATTATTTTTAGACATAGTAAGTAGCTATTTTTTCTTTGTGGAAAAGCTCGAAAAACCCACTGTGCATTATTAACTGCAGAGTTTGACACGTGACGCTTAGAAAATACCATGCTTGTTCAATCTAGCACTATATTAAATTTCAACATGTAGTTTTTAGTGCCAAAAATTCAGGTCTCAGCTCCCAGACTTTCCCAGATAATTATGATGTTGAGGTGAACAGTATTTACAAGAGGGAAACAGGTAATTAAGGTAATTCCGATGTGATGTGAATGCTGCATAAAAGTCACGTTTTCCATAAGAACAGACTGACCAGTGCCACCAAATGACAAAAAAGAGAAAAACATGGCTCATAATTTGTGCGGTTTGCTCACAATGTTTTAGAACAATCAGAGAGGAGGGTATGAGTTTTTAGGCAGCGCAGCAAAGAGGGCATTGTCAATTGTTTTTGTTGGCCCAAGGAAATCACCCTCAGTCTGACTTCTGAGTTCAGGTACGTCCTGAGCCACGGTAAGAGGCCACACCGCTTCGGCTCTGCCGCTCTGTATTACATTGAGATTTTATGCTACTGGAAGTTTGTTCTATTGTTATTAAATCAGACCTAAGCCATAGTAAGTCCATCTTTGTGAAGTCCAGGAGCTAAAAGGAGAGTGAATATTGGACTCGCATTCATTACCCATAACAACTTAAAGGGTGATAATATGTCAGTGTTGTGTTTACAGCTTGTTTCTGCTGCCCTAAAGTGGCCAAAAAATCAGACAATGCAGTTTTAACTACAGCAATCTAAGTAGGCTCTTTTATCTATGAACCTTTTGAAAATAATTAAATATTAATAAACCCCAAAAAGTGTTTTATTTACACATAAGTAAAGGTTCAAAAATCATATCTGTATGTACAAATATTTCATAAATGAGGCCACTGGAGATCTGTTTCATCTTCCACACAAAGTGTTTTTCGGTCTCAAACACAGTTCAACGATGTGCCTAAGTAGCATAACCAAGTGTGCCAGCTGCTCGTAAATCATAGCCAGTGGACTTATACAACTCCCATAGACACGCTGTAGCTGTTTGATGGACAGCAACACGGATTGAGCTGGCTTTTCTCACCCATGTGTAACATTATATCAGGGCTCCTCTCCTAGATTAGGAGGCTGAACAGACAGAAGTATTTTGTGCCAGTATTTGCTATCAGAATGATGCTGCTGTTATAAAGCACCAACAGTTTTCCTGGCAGTTGGGCTGTACCAGACAGCTTTTCTGCTAGAGAAATATCGACTTGAAGATATTTTGCTTCAAACCGAATATTAACCCAGGTAGCATGTAATTCATCCCAGATATGTTATGTAATGTTGTCTTTTCTTCCTTAATTTTTCTCCTCTTATCACCTATTACTCATAGTATTGCGTACTATTTTTTTTCTTCCTCCTTTCCACATTCCTGCCCTCAGTTCATGTGAACCCTCTTACCTTCACACCAAGGGTTGAAAAGCATGACGATGTTCTTGCTGGAGTCGTGAGTGTTTGCGGCCTCGCCCTTTAGAGAGTTCGTTGTCACGCTGAGCCCGTACAGGCCGATCACAGCGGTGGCTGGCGAGTTGACAGACAGCTTGATCTTGTTGGCGCTCTGCTCTACGATCTTTGCCTCCCAGCGTTCGTCCTCCAGGTGTTTCACCAGGGGAATGATGACGTGCGTGCCTTTGGACACCATGGGCAGGGGACCTGCAGCAGACAGGTTACATATGAGTCATGTTGTACCAGTGTGCATTGATACAGAAGAAATTAAAGGATATCACTATAGCAACGTTTTTCATGAACGAAAGCCTTATGTATTGCACGGCATTTTGTGTGTGTGTGTGTGTGTGTTTTAGGTGGTAATGTTGTCTCAGATTCAGATTTCTATCTAATTAAATGAATTTCAACATTTTGGGAAATGCACTTATTCACTTTCGTACAGAGAGTTAGATGGGAAGGTTGATATCACTCTCATATCTGTGAGTTGAATATGAAATAACAGCCAGAAGACTCTTGGTTAGCTTCGCATAATGACTATAAACAGGGGGAAACAGCCTGATCTCATGTCTAAAACGCCAACGCTCGCTTAATCCAAGGACACAGTAAGGCTAGCTGTTTCACCCCCCCCCCCGGCTTCCAGTCTTTAAGTGAATTTCCCAAGAGATTAAAGCTCACATGCAACTGATGTGCTATGGACTAGTAAAGTTAACAAAATAGCAATTAAAACATTTTATATGAAAAATGATTCATTAATAAATAAAGCTTTGAATTACACTTTACATGTGTGAGTGAAAATTCAGTCCTGTCTTATTTCTTATTCCCTGCTGATGTTGAAAATATGGATTAAATAAAGTTAGACAGCAGCAATGGAAGAAGAGGGATCAACACGTATTTGGGCACAGAGTAAACTGTATACTTTGTTATTCGCGTCACAGTATTTGTTTGTCTGTTCTCACAGTGGAAGACACAATCCTCTCAATGTGCAAACCAAAATGGGCACTGCAGTCTCTCACCCTGCTGTGCATGGTTTCTCTGAGTAAACAAAATTCCGGACGTGCAAAACCTCCACAATACACACATCCCTGCAGAGAGTCGAGCACATTTGTGACTGATTTATCTTAGCTTAGATGTTCCTTTTGTTTATTAAGGGCTCACAAACTTCCAAAGAAGCAAAAACAACTTTGTATAAACTTTCTCCTCAAGAAAAAATGGTCGTGTTGAAGTTCATTCTTTCCCACTAACTGGATTAAGACTTATTTGATGCTTTCCTATGAGCTATTTGCTTTGTGATATCCTGCTGGTCTTTAGTTGCCATTTGCTGAAGCGAGTATGAAGTTCACCAAGAAACCATTGTTCTCCATCTGACCGCAGCCCGGGCTCTCCATCCTTCCTCTCTCACCTCTGGGTGCCTGTCCCAACGGAAATCAATAGAAAACGCTGCCTCTTTTCTTCCTGACCAGCGTCACCTTTATTGAAAATAGACCTGGAATCTTTGTTTGGCCTTTAGCGGAACAAAAGAGACGCTTAGAAAACGATGCAAAGCCCTGCTTTTAGTGCAACCCTTTAAAAAAAAAAAAAACCCTTTTCACTGCAAATGCGACAGTGAAAGCAACGGTAATGAGAGCATGTCGACCGTGGGTAGCTCTGTGTGTGTTGATTCATCCCCCCCTCCTAGCATGTCACTATCTAAGCAGCAGGTGACAGAAAATCACTTCTCTGTGGTGATGTAATAGCCATTTATTCCCGAGTGTGCAGTGGATCGTTGCAGTGTGAGGCCTGTAAATACCAAAGGGGAGGTGTCTGGTGTCCGGAGGTCTGGAAACCGTTAACACTGGGCTCGTAGGTGGAATCCGAAACTTGTGGTGTAGCTATGACTGTACTGCTGGGAGATTTCAATGTGCGAGCTATGCATAGTATTCTGACCACATTTCCCAGGCTCTGTTTTGAGTCAGTGGTTTGCCCCTCTGGTGTTTCACATGGGTTTGTGGTTGATACTGTTTAAAGGGCACCTCCATTAATTTTACACATTGAGATCTGTTTATGCATCATGGACTATTTAATCAGTAAAAAAAAAAAACACTGTCAGATGAACTTCATTGACACCACCCACCATGTTCCCAATGTGTCCATTTGAATAGATTGTTATTTAAACAATATTGACTAGATGTTATTTTAGTGTTGTAAACTGTGACTATGACAAAATAATGTTGATTTAAAAGTTGAATTTTTGACTTCAACCATATAACAATCTTTATGAAAACAATCCTATGTTGATTTAACAATCTTTCTATCCAGTTAACTGTTTCATTACTTTACTTTTTCATGTATTGTAAAATACATTTAGCTGTTTCTACTATTTGTGTTACTTACTATTTCAACTGTTTATCCATTAACTATGTAATACTTTTATCTATCTATATTGACAATTTGTCCATTCATTTTATTTCTTCCTACCATCTATTTACTTCTTTATGGTAACTGTTTAAACCTAATTTCTAGTTTTAGAGATTAGTTGAGTTACAATCTTTCCACATACTCCCTGGTAACTGCTGAAAAACCTTCAGTGGTGTACAAGTACTCCTGGTTAGGAACCACTGGTCCAGAGGAGATTTCTCAAGTCTGAGTAATGATAGTATCTTGAATTGGGCCTTTAAATTTCTGACAGAAGATTTGTGTTGCAAACATGGGGATTAAGTTAGATAAGAAATGGGCAGTTCCAGGTCAGGGTGGTTCTGGCTAAACACTAATGAGTTACAGATATCCCACCTCCCCCAGAATTTCTATGAGTCATATTGATAGTAGTTCCCTGTCGCCCCAAAAAAGGATATACAATATCTCAATATCTCTTTTTGAAGAGAGAGAGGGAGACAGAGCATCATGATTACACTCTCCTTGTGCTAAGTGGACCATCACTTTTTTTGTGGCAGAGTCATACCGGAGTACAGTAAAGTCAAGCCCTGCCTAATGCAGTAACGATAATGACATTTTCACTTGCTGCACTGTTTGCAATAGTGGCTGAAATTAGTTTCTCTAAGAAGGGATGTCTAGAGTTGCATGAGGGCTGCTGGATCCAGTGTTTATAAAGCTTTACCCATACTAGGAACTAAGAGTTGGAATATCTTGGCTTCTGCTGCTTCAGTTTTATTTATTCTTTTTTTATTCTGTCTCTTTATTCTGTTATGAATCCTCCATATTTATGAAAGTGTGATGTTTACCCACTTGAACTTTATCAATATATTTTCTTTTTGATATTACTTTAGCCTTATTGTTGTGCTTCTCTTACACTCGAACACTCCACCGGTTTATCACTTCATGCTGCCTTTGTCTCTGAATTTATGGGCAACCCAAGTGCATTTTTGTGCATAAGGCAGTTAGATGTAATCCACTATGATATTCTATGGTATGTTTTATTAATCTTTTGCCCTCTACTTCAACAGCTACTCTCCTAAATAGTGCACTAAACCCTCAGTACGAGCAGGAAAACGTGATGACTCACACCATCAATCTGTTTGTCTCATACCTGTTTTCAGGTCCAGATGCAGCTTGTCGGTTTCAGCACTGAAGGGCCTGTTGAGCTCCAGCTCCATCTGGAAGGTCTGTCCTCTGCGGATGATCAGCTCATCGCCATGGTACAGGTTGGTGTGATGCTCCCGTCTGTTCTGACTCGTCTTGGAGCTCAGCAGGTCGACCGAACGCACAGACAGCTTCATTTCTGAGAGAGGAAGTTTCACAAACAAATGTAAGCATCTGTCTGTGAGGATTATCACGATGTGTCCTGAGAGTTGAATTAAACCTTCATAGCAAAGTTTACCTTCCATTTCCTTTGCTTCTCCATTCTCGGGCTTTGGCTTGGCAGGCTCCGGGGTCAGGTTAGGGGTGGGGGGTTTGACCATCTCAACCTTGTCTGTAACATCATAGGAGGAGCTGTTCTGGCGCTTACAGCAGCACGGACACATCCTCCTGAGCCATCGGCGACAGCCTCCCTCTTCATGTTTTTTCTCCCCCTCTTTGTAAACGGTCAGCTCTACCCTGGTGGGCGGGGCTGCTCCGGGGAAACGCCCAATCTCCGACGTGCCTCTTACTGTCATCCGCTCACTTGGCATTCTGAGGGGGATATTGAAAAAAAAATTGTTATTTCAGTTTCAGGAATAAAACTGTAGACACCAATCAAAATTGGTTTAATTACCCAGATAAGACTTGAATCATCCTGCTATTCCAAAAAAGAATATGTTGCAAATTATCAATTCAAAGGGCTAACCAAAACATTAATAAGCAAGCAGTGTAATGAATACTAGCCTTAGCAGTATCTACCCATTGAGGTAGTTTGGGTTTCATCTGATCAGGATTTAAGACATTCATCTCTGAATAAATCCCCAGCCCTCGGTGTGAACAGTTTTCATACATTATACCAAAGACATAGGCCTTTGGAGAATTCCTGAGTACTTGCTCTGTGAAATATCCAATGATTCTTGCTGGATGTTGCAGTTGAACAATTTTTTTTTTTTTATAGGGGGAAAACTACAAACTAAATTCCATTAATCTCCACTGTATTGGTTTGAAAGCAGAAATCTCAGACGGACAAATAAAAACAAACCCATCTGCAACAACTGGACGTTAGGTGAGAGAAGCCCAGCAGCTCATTATATGTAAGCAGTCAGACAGAGATGCAAATGGTGGCAAAACATCGTAGAGGTCGTTGTAGAGACTTTGTATCCATAACTGCAAAGAAAACATCTCTCCAGTTCTTTCATCTCTCTGTCATGAAACACCATTACACTTTCTCTTTTATTTTTTTCCCCACAATTACTGCATTCCAGACGAGCACTCTCCTCGGTCGTTACGCTTTCCCAAAGCATTCAGGGGTATTTAGCCTTTCGTCCTTGTCAGCTAGTCTCCCTCAACAATCTAACATGCCTCCGTACAAACAGCTGGATCCCATCTGCCTCACCCCAGCTGCAGGGGTATAGTATAGTTTCTGTGCATGTCTTTGTGCGCGTGGTTGTAGGTGCAGCACAGAGCTGTAAATCATACGAACATTTATCACACTGTCATACAGTACAACAATAATCACAGCAGAATTAGATCCTGTGCAACACTAAACCTAAGCCCGTGTTTCCTGTCCATCAGCTTCTAAACTGGGGGTCACACGTCCTGCGCCAAGTGTCAGAGGGAGGAGGCCTTTCCCTCTCGCAGTCCCATCCCTCCTTTTTCTCACCATCTGCTACGTCTCCATCTCTGCATAAAACACTGCAAAATAAATCTGTTTTCCCCAAACATTAGAGAGCCATTGGAGTTTTGTTGGCACTTGTAAAACACCCGTGAGCTGTAATGAGCTGCAGCAATGCACGCAGTCAGGAGAAAAGGCAGCATTGTAAAGTAAATGCATATAGGAGATGTTTGGTTTATGGGGCTGTTATTCTCCCTTTTACAAACATCCTTCGCTAAGCCCCACCCCCCTCAGTTGCTGTTTATACTCTTGTCAGACTTTCCATTATGGTTTGATAAGGGTGGAAGATTTGAGTCTCAAAATGTGTAAAGAATGGGTCTTCAATTTCACCTTCCTAACCAACGAACATTGAGTTTTTTGGCTTTAAATAACAACTGTTGTTGTTGCTAATAGATTTATCAGCTGTAGCGAGCCAGTTTATTAATGCTAACTCCCCAAATAATTAGCTAATGAAATTGCTCCTTAGCTGTGACAGTGGTGCTAAAGTTATTTTTGTAGTTCATATGCACCAGGCAAGCTAATGTTTGCAGCTCACCTTGGAGGAGATTAACACAAACAGCCATTCCCAGTTATTTATTGAAATTTATTGAAAATTATCTGGTACAGGGAATACAACCTCTACACCAGGCTGTCCAACTACAACAAAATAATACCGCAATAAACTTGTTTAAATAATAATTTCACAAATATTAAAGTCAGTGTTATGATAATAAAAAAACATCCTTTGCATCCTCTGGAGGTTCCCTCCCTGTTTTTATAGCATGAGTGTGAAGACTTTTTTTTCCCTCTTTAGTAGGAATAATTTTAAGGAGTTCCCTCTTAAATCATACCTGTCAACATGAAAGACAGGCTCAGCTCTGATCTCACGTATTCTGTGAACAAGCTAATGGAGCTCAGTCACGTCATTCATGTCTGTGTCTCCTGTACTAAAGAAGCTAACTGTAATTTTCTTAACCCTCTCCTCATCTGACCTTTCTGTCAGACCTGGTTTAAGATGAGATCTCACTAAGGATTTATATTAAGGTAGAAATACATCTTCTTCAGATTACTGCCAGCATAGAGTTTGCATTTTTGATTATTTTTTTCCTGAATCATACTGGTGGCAGAGCTATTCTGAGCTATTGATATGAGTCCAGCAGATGTTCAGTAGTGTCTGTGCACATCTGCTTCGCCCTCTGCATATCTCAGTGCGTCTCACTATGTTTCTGCTGTGCCAAAGTAAAACTAAAAGTTAAGGCTGCACGGGTGACGTGAGGTTCTTTCTGAGGAGTGTTAATGCATATTTCATAAGGACAAGCAGCAGTGAGAGTCTGTGATTGAGCTGCAGCTTTACTGTTGATTTAATGGTTAAATATCTGCATGGAGCAAGCGTCTCAAACAGGACACTGACTTTTAGTAAAAAAGCAGCAAGAAGGCAATAACTGAGGAAAGAGGTGGTAGGGTGGGGCGCCTTTCATTATCAGAGCCTGTGTAGTATAGTGTGTGTGTGTGTGTGTGTGTGTGTGTGTGTGTGTGTGTACTTGGTACTTCTATCTTTGTGAGGACCAGTTTGAGTTATAGACCTTAAAGACTGAGGACATTATGGCCGGACCTCACACATTTTAGGTTAGGTTAGGTTTGTATGCATGCGTCATGTGTGTGTGTGTGACATCATATTCACGTTTGATTTTTCAGCTCTGTGACTTCCTGAGTTCATCTAGCAGTCAGATGAGTGTTCTCAGATCCTTGAATTTTTTTACAAAAACATTAATCACCATGGTGACAAACACAATGGAGCAATGTCAGTTGTATGTACTGGCTATTGATCACCACCCAAGAATAACACTCTCTGACACACCACCCAAAAGTCACGCTGTCCGGCGCACTGCTCCTCTAGATTTAGAAAAAGGAACCTACATTTTGGTCACAGAGAAATTAATTTAACTTCATTATTAGAAAAAAAAAAAAAAAAAAGTTTCTCTGCCTGTTTCTACTCACTCCCAGACCATAATTGGACTAATGTTTGAGGTGATAAGATCACAAATACAAGTATAATGGGCCAAAAAATACAGCAAATATGACTTCTTTTCAAATACAACAACTGAACAAAACGCTTTTCTGGCTGTTTTGTTGGTAGTGTGTGTCTTCACAGGCTTTAAAAAAGCCAAGTTATCTCACTACTGCACCTTAGGTGGCCTAAAATTGGCCAATTAGTCATCCACTCAACCCCCTAAAACCATGAAAAGCCATTCCACAAGCCTAATTTTTTGGCAGCATTGCTCTTCCCTCACACTTTACTGCACAGACCTAAATGGATTTATAATACAGCCATCAGCCAAGCTTGAAATGAAGTGTTACTTCTTCATCTTTTTCTCGCTTTGCCTATCACTACCCCATGTGTCACTTCTTCCAAAATGCTGCATGGTGCCCTCTCCCTCTGCAGCTCTGCACTTCTCTTCAGTCACTTTGTGTTGGCATGGTTGGTATGCCCACTGGCCCCTGAGATAAGCGCTTTTAAATTCGTGTCAGTTTCCAAACAATATCAGCTTTAAAGTGGCAGGCCTCGTTTGTTTGGTGATTTTGGACCCATGTTTAAATTAATTAATTGATTAAATATCATATTGAATACCCAGAATGTCCTTATATGCAGAAGAGAAACTTGAAAAGGTTTAAATCCTCTGCACTGCACATCTTTCAAGGTCTCTGAGAAAAGAAAAAGGATCAGCTGCAGCTGGTTGGCCACCGACCAACAAGGCTGAAGGCTTGAAAATACCTTCACTAATTGACTGTGTGTTTTTTTTTTTTTTTTTTGACTGAACATGGAAAAAATGTTTTAAAATGCAAGTGTAACAGAAAAGCAACATTTTGAAGTTTGAGGATGAAGAGGCCCCCTCTTTTTTAACAGCTGGAGACAAATCAGGTGATCAGTGATTAATTGGATTTTTGTTGCATTTGATAACAAAACAAAGTTCAGCTGGTTCACGGCTAAACTTCATTCAGAGCTGCCAGACTCTGACATGAAGGACGGATGCTCAAGTTCAATAAAGACAATAGCTGGTGAGTGGAGTGAGGCAAACTTTACATTGTGATGTTTTGATATGTTCTGTCCTTTCGCCAACGTGTTCTAATGTGCGTCTCTCTGTGAGCCTCCCTCTCTGTGGAGGCCACTGCAACACCTCGGTTGTACCAGAGACTTTCTCTTGTGTAAAAGAAGAGACCGTTAGATCCTGCGCGCACCGCTTCATGTTTACACTTGGCTTTACGAGACGTGAGAAAAGAAATAATCAACGTGGAGTAGAAGTGACTTACTTGCTCTGTATCTGTGTGGGTTCTTCTTTGGATCGGCGGTAAACCTCTGCTTCGTCCTGAGTAACTCTCAATCAGCGTTTGGAAACTTTTGGAAACTTTTTTTTTTTTTCTTCACTCGCTCCGCTCTTGGATCAGAATACTTATACGCACGTCCCGGATTGTATTTCACGGTACTTTAAGATGACACACACCCCTCTTCCCCGCAGCCCAGCCCACCCTGCCCCACCCCGCGCTGCACGGCTCAAGTTCCACACTCCCACCAGGATGTCCCGTTCCAATGAGCGCGCTGCGTAAAAAGAGCGCACGTAAGACACGACGAGGAGCACATACACATAGACTACGAGCTGGGGGGGAGAAAGTTTGTTACGCAATGTTCAGCTTCAACTTTTCCAACGCAGAGAGGGAGTGGAAGCAGACACATAGAGGAGGGCAGGACGATAAGTGAAGAATGCTTGCGTATGGTGAGTCCCAATGTGATGACTCAATAAAGACAATAAGTCAATAACTTGATAAACAGCCAACACTTGGCACCATCAACTCAAACTATCACAACATAAACTAAACTGGATGGAAAAGATCACATAGCTGTAAATTCAGCCTATAAACTTGGGTAAATTGTACAAGCAAAAATAGAAATACTTACTATCATTACATAACAGCTTGTGTATTTATGCTACACACGTGAGGTGTAGTTGTGACCACTAAAATAACCCCAAACCATAATTTGACAACAAATTCTAGGTCAAACTTCCTCTAAAGGAAACCCCCAACTGTCACTGTAACACAAGACTTCTCCTGCTCTCTTACTTTCACTTCTCTTCTGTTGGTCAGCTGACAGAAAAAAAAAACCACTCAGGGGCTAAACCCAGTCTGACCTCTTATCCAGTTAAACCCCCATCCCAAGTTTAACCCTTCAGGTCACAAGTTTAAAGTGGCAGACTCCAAATCCCACAGACTGTGTCTCATATTTAAAAGAGGGCATTTGCACATTGTTGATTTCAGCCCAAACCACCAAGTCAGCGAAAAACAATTGATTATCAAATATTTATTCCTGGTAATTTGCCTCACGGATTCCACGTCAGTCTTCTCTCAGCGACTGTTAATGACTAAAGTGGAGCAACAACCTTTCGGTCTGGCAGGCGATCAACATGAAGTCATTTCTGATCAATGCCGATGATGAAACTTCGATTCGTATCTAAACCTGCCTTCCTCTGTCAATCACTGTTGAACGGTTATGTCATAGCAGCAGAGATTACAGCAACAATGTAATAAAAGAAATTCCAGCTTTCCTTCGTAATATGTTTACCATGTTCATCATCTTAGCATGCTAACATTGCTAATTGGCACTAAACACAAAGGCACAGCTGAGGCTGATGGGAATGTAATTTGTTTGTGCTGGTGTTTACGTTGGCCCTGAAACACACACAAACAGACAAAACACAAACTAATTCAGAAAACATCTTCATCAATTTGACAACACATGTGCTGCAAATACACAAAGATCTTGCACATTGTTCATTGCTTTGTGACTTTTGAAGTTAAAAGCACTGAGCAACAAATGCATCCCAGCCGGGTTCATTACTTTTTTATGTTCCTAGGAAACAGTTTGGTTGTGATGTGTGTATTTGCAGCACGTGTTGTCAAACTGATGAAGATGTTACGGTGCATTTAGCTCTCAGGGCCACCGTAGGTATTTGTTCATTACAAATTGAAATTTTGACCCAACGATGGCACTAGATGAAAAGTCAGAGGATCACCCAAATTTTGGAAATTCATCCCGACAGGAACGTGAATGTGTGCACCAAATGTCATGGCAATTCATCGAAAAGCTATAAAAAATATTTCACTCAGAAACCAAAAATGTCATCCTTGTGGTAGAGGAAGTCATCTGGATACATCCTGTGTGGACCACAAATGTCGTCAGTTTTCACGACAAGTTGTCAAGACATTTCATTGAATACATTAAAACTTTGACTTCATGGTGATGCTAGAGGAAAAGACAGGGGACCACCGAAGTCTGTAGGCCTCATCCTCTGGGGACCACGAATGTCTACATTGTTCTATGGCTGTCAGTACAGTATAGCTGTTGACATATTTTAGTCTGGAACAAAGTGGTGGACCGACCAACACATTTCTATCCAGAGCCACACAGACATAACACACACACATGGGTGCAGTCAAGCAATACAAAGATTAGAGCTGACTATATTTGTGCTGCATGTGTTGAGTCGTGCTGGGTGGCTATAAGATATTCAGCAGTCTGTCAACCTGACAGAAGAGGCTGTTGTTTGCTGTGGTGGTATTGGATTTAATAGTAGCTTATCTCCTGCCACTAAGCAGGGCGTCGGAGGTCAAACAGACTGGATCAGCGTCACAGAACGCTTTAAACAAGATAATTACTGTGGTATTAAACAAAATGAAACAGAAAACAGACAGTAAACACCATAGCAACAAGGACCCCAATAAAAGTATAATTAAGACATTGCTTTGTCACTGGTTAATTGGACTGTATTTAATTTGAAACTGACTAAGAGTGATTGTCAGCTTTGGTAATGTAATGACCTGATAGCCCTTTTTCTTGTCAGTCCTTTTTCTACATGTCATGACAGAAAAAGCACAGGAGTAACTACTAACAACTAACAAGAATGACTAAATCCCATTCAGGTGTGCCAAGCCCAGGGCTCTTCTGTTGTACCTGCTGGCTCACTGACATGGTCTACACTTCTGCTTTTTCTCCTACTACATCATAATGAAAAGGCCCTGCTTGGAAAAAAAGCCTAGAAATAATGTAGAAAACCAATAGAGGAAATTATTCATTATTTTGCTACAAAATCATAGTAAAAATGAGTTTTTATGAGAATTGTAACTTAGAGACATACATTTGATTTGCATTTTAAAAAAACGCAGACTGTTTTCCCGTCTTATTGCTGATCCTGTTCGCTTGACACCAGCGTGATAAATGACATGGACAACATTTGCAGCTTCTGCAGAGCGGTGGACGTGAGAGGAAACATAAAGGTGACTCTGGTTCGTTGAGTATCTAAGTATAACAGATGGGACTGGGTCCTGGCTCTCACACTGTTCGTGGGAAACGGAACAGCCAGCAGCAGGCCAAAGGAAACTTCCTGACTGTGGGAGATGTAATAGAATTGGGGAGAAAGCTACCCCCATGTTATCTAAAATTTCACTCGCAACAAGTGAAAAATACAATAACGGAACAAAATGCTGTCATTCACTGAGAGTAGAAATAATTGGTATGAGCATTGATTTTTCTCTGCAGACATACAGTGCATTGTCTGTGAGAATAGTTTTGGTATGTGCTGTAATGACATTCCTCCGTTAAATAATAACATCGTTCCTCTGTTACCCAAGAATCAAACAGGCACACAGTAAACACAGCTGTGTTTTACATGATAATTCGTCAAATATTAGCCAGCTCATATTGTGCTAGAGGAATTTAGTTTGACATTTCAGACATGGGAACTGTGCTTATTCACTCTCTTGCAGAGAAGATCCATACTGGTCTCATATTTGGACACTTCATACCAAGTTACCAGCAGCCTCCAGTTAGCTTAGTTTAGCATAAAAACTGATAAAGACAGAGGGAAACAGTTAGCCTGGCGTTGTTGAAAGGTAAAGATACCAGCAAAATTCACAAATTGACATTTGTGATTTGTATCTTGTTTGTTTTATCTATACAAATGTCATAGTGTAACAAATATAAGTTGTAGTTTTACCAGACTATGTTTGTCTAGCTGTTTCTCCAAGTTTCCTGTCTTTATGCCAAGGTAAGCTAATGGTCTCCTGCCTGCTGTGTCTATTTCCCAGCTAAAAATGGAAATCGCCGAGCTTAGCATAAAGACAAGAAGCGAGGGCAAACAGCAAAAAAAAAAAAAAAAGTCTGAAACCTATAAAACCACAAATGCAAGAAACAAGATACAATGTGTTGCTTAGCAAACTTTGGACAGAGCCATTGTAGCTGTTTCCTGACCAACAGTCTCCAGTCTTAAAGTAAGCTACCGTCTCCTGGTTGTATTGGTATTTGGAAGAAAGGCATGGAAGTGCTATCAATCTTCTTATCTAACTGTTGGCAAAAAAAAAAGAAAAAAAGCAAATAAGCACATTTCCCAACTTGCGCTACTCCTTGAACACCAGGTTTACAGTCTACAATTTAAGTATTAATGTAGATTTGTTTGTTTTAAAGATTTCGGAAAGTATTTGCATCATTGTTTTTCTTCCTCTTATGAGGATGAAACCTCTAACCCTATTTCACATACATGGATTATATCCTCATAGTCAGTCAAACCAGAGACTGTTTCGCACAACTTCCGTATGTGATGACCAAACAATACCAACTTTATTGTTTCTAGAGAACTGTTTGCTCCCCTCAGTAGTGGGAATGATTTATTTACCGTTTATGCTCTGATTTAAATGATTCATCAAGGACTTTGCATGTTTAACAATGGTGTGATGAAATGTGTGTCTGCGTACGTCTGTGTGACACTGAAGCGTCTTAATCAGTTGCAGTGTTCATTCCCCGTTTGCAGTGCGGGGGCTGATTCATCCTCTGCAGTTGCTGTGGAGATGAACACAAACAGACAAAGCCAACAGGAGCTCTGAAATGATTTATCTGTTGCTTTGCCACTCTGCTCTCAGCCCCCTTCTCTCACATGTAAGGTTTATTCCTTCTTTGTGTAGGCCTACTGAAGGTGTTTTATGAACACATTTTAGACAGGAAATAATTTTCTCTCATGAATAATTTACCAAACAGCAGACCACAATTAATTTATTATAGGACTTTGCATATTTTTGTGTCCCACTGTAAATTCAAACCAAATCTTTTTGCTCTTTCCATCTATATTGTCTATACAAAGGATTGTGGTTTCCTAACATGTATTGTTGCAGCTTTATTTGAGCACTCATTTTAAGTGTTGAACAAGACTAAGAGTCTACTGCAGCGCTACGGGCTGTACAGCTCTGAGCAGTGTTGCTTTGAACTAATTGCTAGCATGCTGAGGCTGTACTTTACTCATAAAACAAGTACAGACAAATGGAGATTTAACTTTATGGCGCTAGGTAAAAAAATTGAGGACTCGCTACGATGATAACAATTCATCTTGAGGGGAAATTAATATCTGCACCACATT